GGGTCCACATAGCCTGGTGTTCCCATCACTCTAGTAGCAGCCATGGATGTTCCTGTGCACGTGCCACCACTTAGCTTCACAAGGCCAAAGTCTGCAATCTTGGCCTGCTCACAATTAGGGCCGCAAACGATGGAATGATAAGAGGGCAAGCGGCAGTGAGGCAATTATGTGAGGCAACACAACATTAAGGAGCTGATAAGCAACAGGAAAAAAAAGTGTATGTTTTAAGCGCTTCAAGCAGGTTGGACATACCTCCATTTTCGCGCCAAGAAGAATGTTGGCGGGCTTGATGTCACGATGCACAATCCCAAAGTCATGCAGATACTGCAACCCTTTCGCAACTCCGATCAGAACATCCAGCCGCTGGGGTAGCGAAAGCGGGATGGGTACTCCTGGTCCGATCCAGCTCTCAAGGTCGTGGTTTTCCATGAACTCGTAGATGAGTATCTGCTCAATGTGCCTTGTGTCTGGATTGAAGTCCATGCAGTAGCCCAGTAGACGCACGAGATGGGGATGGTGTTTGCTCGCCATTTCTTTCACCTGCAGGGGGCACAAGGAGTAGCATGTGGAAGGATGTGAGCAATCAGAGTTATCTCCATGTGCCTTGTCTCTGGGTTGAAATCCATGCAGTAGCCCAGTAGACGCACGAGATGGGGATGGTGTTTGCTTGCCGTCTCCTTCACCTGAATGAACTCCAGTTGGAAAATGTGGCAGAATATAAGTGATCACAAGGTGACTCACATGTTTGTGCGCCGAAGGTGCAATGACAAGTGCACATTTGACGCAAGAAGAGTAGAATGGATAAATCTATGATACCTCGATCCTCGGCCACGTGGTACCTCGGTTTGAAAGTCGTTGGTGAGAATCCGAGCCCGTTTGACTGCCCATATCTGGTCTCCACTCTGAGGAGACACTCCCTTGAACACATCCCCAAAGCTGCCACTGCCGAGCCTGTTCCCCTCAGCCCAGTTTGCTGTTGCGGCTGTGACCTCTGCTAGGGAGTACTCTTTGCATACTTGAAACCGCGCTGGTTCCATATCTGCTATAATTTCATCGTCCTGCCTCCCTACTGCCACCGCTGCCGCTGCCACTGAGGCTGCTGCTGCAGCAGCAGCTGCTGCTTCTGCTTCTGCTTCTCTTTTCTCGTTCAGAGCATCACTGTTCCTTTCCTCAGCTACAGGTGCCAGATTTATTTCAGCTGAGGCTGTTTCTTTGACTTTCGGGTAGTCATCCTTCGTGTCTGCAAGTTGAGTGCGATTGGTGGCGGCCACATAGTGGTTTGAATAAAATTAGGGATGATTGAATAAATATAGTGATTCTGGAAAACGAAGAACTAGGAACAACACAGGAAATAAGGAAACGAAGGAAGAAAGAGAGAAATAGCAAGAGAGAGAAGGAGAAAGGATCCAAGTTGCATGAACGAACCAAATTGTTACTATCTCAAGGATTCTGTGAGATGGAGAGGAGTGGAAAAGGCTTGCCTTGATACGTCGTTTCCAAAGGTGTGTGTCTCTCTAGCGAGTTCTTAGCCGCTCCTCTTGCAGTCCTTGCTTTGTAACAGTGCCACGCAATTAGCACGATGAATAACAACGCGGCAAGCCCAACAAATATATTCACCACGATAAGAAATACTGAAATACCCCCTCCTTCACTTGTATTTGAAAGTACTGCATATGACAAGAAAGAGGAAAGGTGCAAATATTAGAGTGATATGAACTTAATGCCTTCTGAAAATTGATGAGCGGATTTCCTGGAAATTCATAAACATTCTTGAATAAATTATATATACATTTTACCCACCACACATGTTGCAGAAGGAAGAGCACAGCTTGCAAAAAGCATTTGATGGAATCTGTGTGGATCCGCAGTCTTCATGATCAGCTGGGCATGTCAAGCCCGTTTGTGATATGTTCCTGCATATGTAGATCATGTATGCACAACATCATAATAATATCTCTTTATGCATTTCCAAAACAAGTTTTGCCTTCTCACGAGTTCATATTTGATTTTCACAGTGAAAGAATGGTTGGGGCATCTGAAGTCTACTATGTATGTAAACAGCTAAGATATAATTTCTGTTGTCAGGCAGGCTATCCAGGAGCGTGTAACCATTTTTTTGGGGCACCTAAAATTCTTACAAATACGTAAGGCTCGAAAATGAACCAAGAGTTCGGGGAAGGGTTCCTGTCAAATTGGTCCTCTGAATGTCACTGCCACCGCAAAGATAATCAAAACGAAAGAAACACGACAGTGCTAAAAACAAATTGATTGACAAAAGGAAATGGCGCTACCTGACAAGAGTTGATTACACTTACAATAGAAAAAACTGTTATAGGTGAAAAGAATAGCAATGAGCAGCAATGTATGACCTTACAAGTATTGCAAGTTGCGTAAGTTATCCACAGTGCCCAGAATTTGCCCATTGATGAAGTTGTAGCTAAGGTCCCTTCATTGATGATTGAACGAATGTAATGGGGATTATCACACGAATAAATGAGAGTTAAATTGGAAACGAGTAAGTGTATTGAATAATGATGAGATGGATTTGTATGTACACATGGATATGTTCATGTGGGTTAGGAGCACATCATAAGATTGGTGTGAGCATTAGCAACGCACGAGCACTGCAGAAGCAGCGCATGATAATCACAGATGCAAATCCCTCCAACTTTTGAGAAACCAAGCATCAATCATGCGCGCATGACACTTACATGTGCCTATGGTCATGCTTTTTAGGCACCTCAAAACTTCGTGATAATACGTACAGATATGTTAGGCTGCTGATGCCAGGGCTATACATAGAATACGGAATGCTTCCTTGCATCTTATTACCCCGTAAATCCCTGGAAAGAGAGATATTTTTAAATGCACACGCACATCAGTGTGACACCGGGGAAGGCCAGCTTCCGTTGCAGAATAAGTAGGAGCCAACATCAGGAATGAGGATTGATACATTTCAGAGGTTGTGAGAATGAACATTAAGCCATTTAAAGAAGAATGCGTTAAGCCAAAGTGATGAAGAATATCCGCTAGTATTAAGTCGCACTATCATTTATCAGTGACAGGTGATAGGATTATCCGGTCGAGTGACACAGATTTCCTGCTGTCGCTCCAGGTGCTGGTGAGTCTGCTGCAGCTCTAGGTGCTCGTGAGTCTGCCGACGCTCTAGGTGCTAGTGAGTCTACTGCCACAGGTCATGCCTCAGCTGAGGCCTTGCACACTTTCACGCTTGACTTAGGTGTGTCACGTTGCTTCTTTCGTGATTGCACCACAGTCACACCACTCGCAGCACCTGTCCCAGTCTCACTGGCACACCCCACTGGGGGCCTAGTAGTTGCGCGAGCCTCCACTGTCCTCCCGTGTCCGGCAATCCCCTCCGGTTCTCTGTCAGGTCTCCACCTCCCCACGTTCTCGACGAACTTAGTGAGCAACGCTGCAATTCAGGATGTCTGCGCGCTGCCGCCCCTCGACACAAGGAAGGCACGGCGGGGCAGGCGAGCGCGGGAGGGAGGGCAGGGACATGGGAAGGCCAGAGACAAGGAGACGGGAGTGCATGCTGCGGAGACGCGGTAGGGAGGGGTGACTGAGGCTGTGGTGCTAGAGGAGAGTCTGATGGGAGAGTACCTGACAGGAGCAAGACGCTGCAAGCTGACCAGACGCAGACACCTGACTCGACGCAGCCACCTGACCTGCCTCAGCCACCTGTGCAGACGCAGTGGTCAGTGTGTACAGACTAGACCCAGGCCGTCGAGTGAACATAGCAAGGTGACGGCCAGTCCGGGAGCACGTACAGATCGCCACACGCTGCCCAGGTGTTCCAGGTGACCGTTGCTGACAACGCTGTTGGGAATGGACCCGTTGATCTCGTTGTATGCCAAATTCCTGGTGGAGCATAAGGTGGAATGTCGTTGAGCATGGACCCTTTTATCTTTGAGGAGCATCAGACATGGTAATGTACACCTTTTCTGAGAAATGTTTTGTAAAAAGCAATAGACGACGTGTTGTTTCAAGCCAAGTATCTCCCAGATATGACAGGTTCAAGGGGTTTTCAGGATTCTTGCCTACAGGGCAGGTTTTCGAGCTTGCTAATTCGACCTTCAAGGCGAATAGGATTCTCACAGATAGGAGAGGTTACGAAGGAGCCAGAGATCGGCAGGGATTAACCCAGTGAGGTGAACTCCTGAAAGCCTTCTGAAAAAATCACAATGGAATTGAAGTGGGAGGAATAAAAATATGGAAAGGGGTGCATAGACCTTCAAGAATAAGCACCAGCAACAATGGATTCCATGGTGCCTGTGACAGAGTATTATGGCAGATTACCCGAAACATAGTGGAATAAGTCAACGAGCACACAAGCACCAATGCGACGTTTCTTGCCGTGTCCTCTTTACTTCTGACAATTGGATGCGGGAGTAAACAAAATGACTGGTGGGGATTTGTAGCTGTTCGCAAACCAGGCGGTGAAGCCGAAACTCCATAGCGGGAGTAGAGAACATTCGAGAGTGAATCTTTCGTACCAAGGTGCTTCGGAAAACAAAAAAGAACAACAAATGCTGGTGGTAAAACTGAAACAAGGGGAGGGGGGTGCTTACAAATGTGTGAGTCCCGTCAAGTTTCCGATGGCAGGAGGAAAACTTCCGTCCAAGGGAACATAGTATAGATCTCTGATGGGACATGCACGAATGATGGGACATGCAGGGATGATGGGACATGCAGGGATGATGGGACATGCAGGGATGATGGGACATGCAGGGATGATGGGACATGCAGGGATGATGGGACATGCAAGGATGATGGGACATGCAGGGATGATGTGACATGCAGGGATGATGGGACATGCAGGGAGAATAGGGGTGAGTGAGAGGGGGAGGGAGTAGGACCATGCAAAGGCTACCAAGAGGTGTTTCTTAAATTACTTGTTGTGGGAGGATTGATGCAGAAGGATGGCCACAGAAGAATGCTCATATGCAAATTATCAGACATCTGTAAGAATTTCCAACATGCTCTCACATGCTTGTCACGATTCCATCAGCATCGCAGCCAATCTGCTCCCCCACACTCTGTTCCAGAGTTCCGTTAGTGCTGCACTCCGCTCCTGCTTCCCACCCACTGAAATTCCTTCCCCAGCCATTATTCAGCTCCTGTAGGATTTCCCCTGGAGGCAGGAGGAGGGCGGGAGGGGGCGAATGAGGAGAGAAGGACAAGGGGAGGAAACAAGGGTTACGCAAGCATACTGTGACGGCATTCTGCGAGCCTTCGTCTCCTTCTGCTTCTCCAAGGTTCTGCGAGCTGAACCTTCTCAAGGAAGTGTCGTGTGCCATTGTAACGAGGTGACTTTTGAGTCGACTCAAAAGCCCTCGTGTCCTTCTGCTTCTCCAAGGTTCTGCGAGCTGATCCTTCTCAAGGAACGTCCTGCTGCAACACTTCTTCAGTTCCTGCAGGTTCTGAGCTGGAAGCAAGAGGAAGGGAAGGGGATGATGTGGAGCGAAAGGATAGGGAGAGGAAGCGAAGGCCAGGAGGGCTGGCAGTATTGTGTAATGCGAGTGCTCTTGCGTCCCTTCTTCAGCTCCTGCTCCCACCCGGAGTGACTCATGTGTTAACCTTTCTCCTAGTTGCGATGGAGTCAGGGATGGGAGGGATGGAGGGAGGAGGGAGAGGAGGGAGAGGAGGGGGAGGAGGAAGGGGGAGGAGGAGGAGGAGGAGGAGGAGGAGGAGGAGGAGGAGGAGGAGGAGGAGGAGGAGGAGGAGGAGGAGTGTTAGGGTTGGTTCGTCCAACCACGGAACCTACGGCGAAAGCTTCTACGACGGCGGAATGAAGGCGAAGGAAGCGTGTGGAGAACGAAGGAACAGTTCTTAGGATCGTAAACACCTTAGTCGGTAACTCCTCCAATTCTCCCATCTCAGCATTCTCAGGATCCTCATAAATCTCATCCTTGCCGTTCATCGCTATCCAGTTCATCTCATAGAACCCGTAACTGAAGTAGCCATCTGCATACTTCTCCCACTCAGGACCAAACACTGTAACCTTGCCACTGTCATAAAATATCTTGCACCCCAAGTCATCAAGCTGTGACTGACTCATCAAATTCACCTTCAAATCCTCAACCAAGAGCACATTCTCCAGTTTCACCTCTCCATACGGACTTTGCAGCACCACGTCACCCTCTCCTGTCACTGGTAACTTCCCACTGTTACCTTGCAGTATATAACGCGCACTCGACTCCCTCACGTTCTCCATCCAATCTGACCTGAATGTCATGTGACGCGTGCATCCGCTGTCCATGAACCATGCCGTCTTCTCACGTCCGTCCGTCTGACGAACATCCTTCGGTAAACGCACCACGTTCGCACGATGCGCTCCTCCCAAAATCACATCCTCCTTTTCGGCTTCCGCTACATTCGCCTTACCCGCCACAATCCTCTGCTGCGACGGACCCTTGTAGCTCCTGCTGTTCGGATTGGAGTAGCACTCTGCGGCACGATGCCCATAGCGCCCACAATGATCGCACTTGCCGCCAAAACCTCGTTTCTGTTGCCACTCCGCTCCCCTGTTTTCTCCATCTTCGTTCTCCACCGCTTTGCCCTTGTAGTTTCTGCTTCGCGGGTTTTCGTAGCAGTTTATCGCCTTATGCCCCCTCTTTCCACACTGGTAGCACGCTCCAAACGCCTTCGTTGCATTCACCAAAGCCGGCCTCTCCTCGTCGAAATCCGTAGCTGCTGCTGCCGCTTTCTTTTTCCTCATCTCCTTCACCGTCTCAAGCGATTGCAGAATCTCCTGCAGCTTCGTCAAACTCTCCGGCGGTTGGTACGTAAACATACCGATGTCGGATTCCCACTCTTTAGGAAGGCCTTGGATGATATAGTCAATCATCTCGTGCTCCGTCTCCGCGGCTCCCATCACCCGCAAGTCGTCGTTATAGCTTTTCGCCCTGTTGATGTAGGTGATTATTTTCTCGCCTTTCTCCATGCCCAGCATCAGCAGTTGCTTCCTAATCGCCTTCTTGTTGACATCGTTGGTGCCCATGTACGTGGACTCCAGGTACTCCCACGCTTTCTGTGCAGGGTTCAGGTCCCCTGCAAACTGGTCCAAATCCACCGCGATTCCATCGGCAACTGAGTGACAAAGCTGAAAGAACGCTTGCTTACTTTGCTTTTTGAACGCCGCTATTTTCTCCTTCGTATCCGTCGGGGATGGTGCAACTCCCTCCATCGTCTCCTCGTCGGGACGGTAGTACGGCAAGAGGTCAACCTTCTCTGCCCTCCGAATAAACTTCTTCCGCCACACATTGTAGTTGCTTCCGTTGAAGCGCTGGGCTTCACTGAGCCCGATCGTCGGTTTCGCCACCAATCGGCCACTCGCAAGGGCCTCGAGAAGAGCCTTCAACTGCGGGTCTCCAAGACTCACACTGGAACCCGAACTCGCCTCGTCTCCCATGGCGTAGGCGTGAACGACTCCTCTTCTCCACTAATTTCACTTAGCGCACCAAGTGAATTCACCGCGATCGACGCGCCCGTTCGCCAAGCTCTGATACCACTTGTTGGCCCAGCCTGCTACCGACTGGGTTAAAAGGGCATGTTTGTATGGTGGGTAGCACACCCATAACCCCCCAGGCCGCGCCTGTAGCCCTCCCACACTCAACTCGGGACGATCCCAGTGCCCCACCAACAAGGAGGAGGAAGGGGGAGGTGGAGGAGGAGGAGGAAGGGGGAGGAGGAGGAGGAGGAGGAGGAGGAGGAGGAGGAGGAGGAGGAGGAGGAGGAGGAGGAGGAGGAGGAGGAGGAGGAGGAGGAGGAGGAGGAGGAGGAGGAGGAGGAGGAGGAGGAGGAGGAGGAGGAGGAGGAGGAGGAGGAGGAGGAGGAGGAGGATGAGCAGGAGAGGGAGGAAGAAGAAGAGGGGGAGGAAGAAGAGGAGGAGGCGGGGAAGAAAGGAGGAAGGAAGGGGGCAGGAAACAAGTAGGGGAGGAGGAAGGGGAGAGGAATGCGGGAGGTTGGAATAACACACGAAAAATACTGTCATAATAAAGGGCAAGATACTGTCAAGAAATGCCCTACTGTCACAAAAAAAGGGTTCGATATTGTCAGGGTACGATACACAGACCTTGGATATCGTTCAAAGGTACACAACCAACTAAAGGAAACGAGAGAAACGCCAGAAAGAACACCGCGCCGAGCAGGGTGGTTGCGCGTGCCATTTATTCGGAGGGATAATATTTCCGAGGCGCATCGAATATCGGCTCGCATTAAGCGTCACTCTAGCCTATTCGTTCTCTTTCCCTGGCTGGAAACGCCGTCTACCTTAAAACAAGTACGACTACCGCCTTCGTGATAGGCGTGAAATGAAAAATAGATTCGAAGGTATTATAGACAGAACGGGTTGGACAGACGCCTAATAATCGCCTTGCGTACGAAAGATCTCAGCTAAATAATGTTCTGCATAATTATTGGACCATCCTGTAAACATCCTCCTCAGCTTTAGTCAATGGATTTCCGTCTTGGGAGGATGGGAGGGGAGAGATGGGGGGGAAATGTAGGAGAGGGCTGCATTTCCCAACGAACATGAAAGGTTGATCGCAATTCTGGTAACACTTCCAGACTTCCGCGATGTGTCGTAATGACTTTGGAGGCTCCTGGTTTGGGCGACAGCAGATATTCGCTCGAAGCTTCAACTTTTCGCCCAAACTTTCGCCTCGCTATGCTGGACGCACCGCATCCATCTCCCATGTCGCGATTGAAATCGCCAGCTGGGCGTGGCAGTGAATCTTGCTCTGAAGGGCGCGGACTGTCGTTGACCGATGAGGTGGCTGTGATACAGCCCCGGTAACACTTCACGACTTCAGCAATTCGTCGTTATGGCCCTTCAGAGTTCGCCACAGCAGAAGTTCGCTGGAAGCGTCAGCTTCTCCCGCCAACTTTCGCCTCGCCACGCTGGCCCACCACATCCATCATCTCCAACAAACTTCGCGAGTGAAATCGCCAGACGCGAATTGTGAGTTCTCGTTGCACAGCTGTCGTTGACTCGTGCCCCATGTCCAGCTGGAAACAGTGGGGAGCGCTTTGTCCGAAGAGCGCGGACTGTGTTGACTGATGAGGCGGGAAAGGGCTTTAAGAACTCTAGCTAGGGAAGAACCTCCAGAGACAACAAGGAGCCCCGTTGTTGAAGGTGTACTTTGGGTAGTACGCTCTGCAGTACAGTCCTGATACGTGGAAGATTCTCCCTTACTCCTTATTTATAAAAAGCAAACCATTTGAATATAGGTCAAACAAACGCGACTACTAAGCATTTTTATATTCATTTGATCTCGCCACAATCCGCAATCACCACTGGTAAACGGGGACGCTCATCCCCTGAACCAGAAGGCTTTGCGAGCTTGTTTATCCGCTCTACAACTTCCCAACCAGACACCTGAAACAAAGGAAAACACAAAAGGTGGTTATAAAAATACAGCGTAATCAATATCAAGTGTAGCTGCAGAAACAGTACTGTATTGAGCCTTACCACTTGGCCAAAGATGGGGTAATGCCCGTCTAAATGTGGTGCCGGAGCCACCACGATAGAGAAATGAGTGGTGGTGGTATCTGGGCCAATGTTGGCTGCTGATAGCAAGCCCTTCTGCAGGTGGAGAGGTTGGGGAAGGGAGTGAGAGAGAGAAGAAAGATGGGTTAATGGCCGTCTAAATGTGATGCTGGAGTGGAGCCACTGCAATACAGAAATGTGTGTTGGTGGTATCTGGCCCAATGCTGGTTGCTGATAGGAAGCCTTTCTGCAGGTGGAGGGGAGGGGATGAGAGAAGGTAAAGGCAATGCGGAGGGAGTGACCAATCATCAGGGGTTAAGTTGGAAGCACCAGGGAAACCAGTCAAGAAGGCGGATACTACAATTTACTAATGCGAAACGAGGGGGAAATGGACGTTGGTCTGCTGAAACAGAAGGAACAAGCTACTATACAGACGACTACCACAAGTCCCCACCCACCTTGTAGTTCTTAGCATAGTGGGTCATTCATGCATGCAGGAAGCAAGCTACTAGATAGTACAAGCCCCCACCCACCTTGTTGTGCTTCAGCAGCAGCGCTAGAGGATCATCCTTGAAACTCCCGTAGATGCTCTCCGTGTTGATCCCAGTCTGGCAGATAAACCTATCAATCACTCTATAGAACTCCGCTCCCTTGTAATGCAGCAGCAAACCCACCCACCTTATTATGTTTCAGCAGCAGCGCTAGAGGGTCATCCTTGAAGCTCCCCCCATAGATGCTCTCCGTATTTATCCCCGTCTGACAGATAAACCGGTCAATCACTCGGTAAAACTCTGCTCCCTTGTAATGCAGAGGCAATCCTGCCCCATCCCTGCCCTGCCAGCCCCGCCCCCTCCCTCCCCTGCCAGCCACCCCCCTACCCGCCTCGCTCCAATGTAATGCAGCGGCATGAGGCATTCCCACCCACCTTATTGTGCTTCAACAGCAGAGCTAGAGGATCGTCCTTGAAGCTGCCCCCGTAGATGCTCTCCGTGTTGATCCCAGTCTGGCAGATAAACCGGTCAATCACTCGGTAGAACTCCGCTCCCTTGTAATGCAGCGGCAATCCTGCCCCCTCCCTGCCCGGCTCGTTCGGCACCCGCCCTTTCTCCCCCGTGCACAGCGCCCGGAAATTTTCCGCTGCCCGGGGCGCCTGCTTGGTGAAGAGCTCGAAGATTATTCTGCCCGCGGGCCGCCCGTCAATGTTGATGTCGAAAAAGACTTTGGGTTTGGGGTAATCCATGGGGTCGGTGGTTAGGAGGCCGGGGGGACGGGGGCGGATGGCGATGCCTGCTAGCTCATCCCCCACCCCATCGTCCATGCCATACTGTGTGGTCCGCCTGATTTATACGATGGGTGGTGGGGACAGAGGAGGAGGGCGGGTGGGAGAGGAGAGGTGAAGGAAGGGCGAGAGAGAAAACCAACAGGCCACACGTCGATGTCAATGTGCGCTTGGAGGCATGAGGTGGAAGACTGGGGGCTTGGGGTAATCCATGGGATCGGTGGTGAGGAGTCCGGAGGGGCGCGGACGGATGGCGATGCCTGCTAGCTCATCGCCCACCCCATCGTCCATTCCATACTGTGTGGTCCTCCTGCGAAGGAAAGGACGGGGAGCAGGAGGAGAAAGGGTGATGGCAATGCCTGCTAGCTCATCCCCCACCCCATCATCCGTACCATACTGTGTGGTCCTCCTGGTGTGTGGAATGGGGTGCATGGGGGAGAATGAGGGAGAATGAGCCTCAGTTGGCAGGTGGTGAGGAGGCCCGGGGGGCGGGAAGGTATGGCGATGCCTGCTAGCTCATCCCCCACCCCATCGTCCATGCCGTAGGGGGTGGTCCTCCTGGTGTAGGGAATGGGACAACAGGAAAGGTCAGCACTAGATTGTTGTTCATGGAATGGTGGTAACACCTGCGGTTACAGCTAGACCTACCCCAGCACCCATCCCACGATGAAAGAGAGCAGACCCACCAAAACCAAGAGTCACGAGGAAGTACCTGTAGTAACCTTGGCTTGGGCTACCTGGGAATCTGGATACGCCAGAGACACCAGCACTGCAGGGAGGAGTACCTGTGGTTGGTGATTATGTCGACAGCTAGATAGCCCAGCACCCATCATACGATCATGGAGAGCATTTGGGAGACCGAGAATTACCTGGAATTACCTGGGTCTACCAGGGCTTATCTTACCTGGAGTTACACCAGTGACACCAGCACTGTATGTATTACCTGTGGTTGGCAATTATGGCGACAGCTAGATAGCCCAGCACCCATCCCACGATGACTGAGAGCAGACCCAGTCGCACCCTGCTCGAGCTGACACGCTTCAACACCTGGCGGGGAGAGTGGGGAGAGGCAGGTGGGGAGAGGAAAGGAGGGAAGGGGAAAGGAGGGAAGGGGAAAGGAGGGAAGGGGAAAGGAGGGAAGGGGAAAGGAGGGAAGGGCGAGAGCGAGGGGTTGATCAGTGTGGCTTTAGAGACAGATGGAGGAGAAGCGGGAAATGGAGCAGATATTTCAGCACCCTTCCATCCCACGATGACAGAGAGCAGACCCAGCCGCACCCTGCTCGACCCAACGCGCTTCAACGCCTGGGGAAGAGGGGGAGGGAGGAGCGGGTTGGCCGGGAAACTGAAGAGAAAGGTGAAACGGTCGGCCGCAGGAGGGAAGGGGGCACAGGGTGCAATTCACGGGGCCACGGAGACGTTGAAAAGCCGGCGTTCAGTGCTTCGGCGGTCCGCTTTTGTGGTACCTGAAACATTGGGAATGCCGGCTCGCGACGTCCGTGCGACTCAAACGACCGCTGTACGACGTCGCCGTCAGGGCTACTATACGATATGATGGTCAGCCAAACACGCAAATGGCTTAGTATGTCTGAAAAAACAGACACGCCACGATTACGAATCCGAGCCGACAGGAGCGACGGAACGATTTAAGGAAACCTAGAATGTGACGTGTTACTTCTATAAATGAAGATGTCTGAAATTAACAGGGTACTGTATCGAGAATTCAGCCGCGTATTGCGGGCTACCGAACTGATTAGCTGAGTCCGCAAGTGGCCACATTCGGTAGTGCCTGAAGAATGGTTCAGGAAATTAGCCGCGTATTAACATTCTCGCTAGTATTAATAGGAAATCCTGTTTATATGCATCCCGCGTATGCTTTGCGCTTTTGGTCGTGACTCGTGTGTTCGCTTTGCAACTGCCGTATTGGGCTCATTCCCGTGCTGCGAATCAGATTGACGTTTCAGGTTCCGAGCCACAGTTTTCGCAATATTGTGGGATTTGGAACTCGGCGAAACGCAGTCGCGCTGGTAAACGATTTGTGTAACTGAAGCAAAGACAAACCCCGGGGAATCCGGGACAGTTTGGGAAGTGAAACCAAGATTCAAAGCACATCCTATTTCAACACTCATGCTTTCGTCATGGTAACCATGTCCTTCCGTGTCGCAAACACCCACACCTGTCATCAGGGTTCAGGTTTCTGGTCTAAATAATTAGGGTTTCCTAGTCAGGTTTTTCTGGTTATGGGTTTCCGAGTTTTTTTTTCAATCGCTCTAGTTACTCATGATGGCACGAACCGGTCGCGTGCGATTCGTCTGTCGCGGGCGAAGCGTGCGAATTGCACGCGATCGCTCGTGGGACGATTCCGATCCGTTGCGCACCGCCGCGGACGCGGGTGAAACCGCCGAGCGGAGAGCTGCGGCGATATTTCCCGCGCCGGCGGAAGCGGGAAAGTCAGCGGGAGCGGGAGGACTAGCAGCGGCGCGGGAGCAGGAAATGCTTCTCAAATCGAGGGAGGATCAATGGCTGAACGTGCTTCCGCACGAGGTGGGGCGAAGCGGAGAGAGGGAAGAATAGGGAGAAGGGAGAAAGAGGGGGAGGGGGGGGGGAGGGGAATTGGGGGGAAAGGGTGCGCGGTGGGGGGGGAACGGAGTCAGGCGAGAAACCGATAGTTGCTCAGGGAGAATCGATGACTGACCGTGCTGCCCCTCCCCCCTCTTCGTGCGCCCTCCCCCCTTCTCCCCCCTCCCCTCCTTCCCTTGCATGTGGCTTCTGCTTCCCCGTTGGCCAGAGCAGCAAGTGCGGTGGTTCACTTCTAACGTCGACGGCTCAATTTCTCCTGCCCCTTTGCGGTGGTGGTATACCTCCTTTCCCCTGTGCGGGCATCCCCCCTCCTCTCCCCTCCTCCTCCTTTCCCCAGCGCAGCAAGTGCGGTGGTATACCTCCAACGGCAATGGCGCCGATTCTTATGGCACTCGCAAATTCTCTACCCGCTATGTTCCCCCCTGTGTCCCCCCTGTGTCCCTCTTGTGTCCCTCCTGTGTGGCTTGTCTTGTCCCCAGCGCAGCAAGTGCGGTGGTATACCTCCAACGTCAATGGCGCCGTGCCGACCTCTGTTGCACCGTCTAGTCAGCGCTGACGTGGACAGAAAGCTTACCAGGCTGGCAGGTGGAGACGCCACGCTGGGAAACCGCTTGCTCGCCCTTCCCCTGGTATAACGACCTGCGTGCACAGTCACAATCTGTTATGCAGCCAAGCTTTTGATATAGTCACTTTCCTGTAGTCACTATGAGTGCCATTTAGTAAATCGATGGCCCTCCTATCTTGCTTGACTTTATTGACTTGATTGACTTGGCTGGTCTTACATTTCTGGTGACTTCGAAACCAGCATCCTTTCTCGCATCTCCCCATTCCCGTTTCCCTACCTACCCCTCCCCTTTTCCTGCAGTCACTGTAGTTGCCTTGCATCCACCACCCACCACCCCGCCTGTCTGCCTGCTCTTTCTCGGGAGAACCCACCGTGTAGCCTAATAACTCCTTCGCGTACCAATCACCCCTCCCCCCCCCCCCGCCCTCTCCCCTTCTCCCTCTTTCAACCCAACCCACCAGAGCCCTTCGTCTCACCTCCTGCTCTTCCCCTCGGGTCACCGCTACGACTGCCTTGCCGCCACCACCCACCACTCTGCCCCCCCTTTCTCCCTTTCCCGTTTTCCGTTGTGTTCCCTACACCCCCCACCAGACCGCTTCATCTCACCTCCTGCTCTTCCCCTCGGGTCACCGCTATGACTGCCTTGCTGCCACCACCCACCACTCTGCCCACCTCAACTCCAACTTTTACCTTTTTCGTTTGTTCCCTACACCCCCCACCAGTCCCCCTCCTCCCATCTCCTGCTCTTCCCCTCGGGTCACCACCCCTGTTTCCCCACATTCTCCCTCCATTTTCCCCCCTTTTTTTCTCCACCCAACCCACCAGTCCCCTTCATCTCACCTCCTGCTCTTCCCCTCGGGTCATCGCTATGACTGCCTTGCTGCCACCACCCACTCCTCCAGTCTTGGCAGCAGCAGCAGCAGCTCTGGGGGGGAAGCGGAGGGAGGGGCGCAGGGGGAAGTGGTGCGGGGGAGCAGAGTGGGCAAGAAGATTCTGCAGGTGAGGAAAGAGAGGAGTAGGGCTGGCGGCGGGGGGTACAGGGGGAGGGGAGGGGAAGGACTGGGGGAGCAGAGTGGGGAAGGGAAGAAGATTAAGCAGGTGAGGAAAGGGAGGGGTAGGGCTGGCGGCGGGGGGTACAGGGGGAGGGGAGGGGAAGGACTGGGGGAGCAGAGTGGGGAAGGGAAGAAGATTCTGCAGGTGAGGAAAGAGAGGAGTAGGGCTGGCGGCGGGGGGTACAGGGGGAGGGGAGGGGAAGGACTGGGGGAGCAGAGTGGGGAAGGGAAGAAGATTCTGCAGGTGAGGGGATGTACAGGGAGGTTGGAGAGAGACGTGTCGTGCACGTTGGAGGGGTTCCATTGTAATGTACTCAGTGGAATGCAAGGCACTGCTCTCCATTGTCTCCTTGTCTGCTCTGCATTCCACAGAACCCTCCCTTCCCCTGCCCCAGCCTTGGAGGTTCTCAATACCCTCATCCACTCGAGGCTCGCGCCCTCTCTGCTCTTACTGATAACTCTCACCCATTCTCTCCCCTTTTGAGACGTCTCAAAAGTCTCACAGAACCCTCCCTTCTTGCGCCCCAGCCTTTTAACATTTTCAAAAACCTCATCTGCTCGAAACTCCCGCCCTCTCTCCTCTTACTGATAACTCCCACCCCTTCTCTCCCCTCCCCCCTCTGCTTTTTCACTCCCCACAACCCCCAGCTCACAGCCTTTAACAGTGGTAACTGGGGCACACACCCCGCCCCGCCCTCTTCTCCCAGAAATAGCTCGGATTCCTCTGAAGATGACCAAGAGGGGTGGGAGAGCCAGGGGCGGCAGGGGAGGGGCCAGGAGCATCAGCAGCAGCAGCAGCAGCCAGTCATGAGCTGCCACGTGGCAGCGCGGTCCATGCACCATGCTCACGTGCTCGCCCTGTTGTACGATAGTGATGGCTGCAGCAGCGGCAGGGATGGTGGTGGCTGTGGGGGGGATTTCGGGGATGTCGGAGGGTTGAAGGCGAAGCGTCTGCTCTCTCTCGCATCGCCAACGCCTCTTGCACATGTGTGTGTGTCCGTCACTTTGAATGCAGCAAAGCAAACATGTAGAAAAGCTGTTTTTGAGGCGCCCAAAAAACAAGCTGTTTTGAGTCGACTCAAATAGAAAAGCTGTTTTTGAGGCGCCTAAAAATCAACCTGTTTTTTATGCGTCTCGGAAACAGCAAAGGAAACATCTAGGAAAGCTGGCTGACACTTTCAGGTGATCTGTTGTCTCTCTGACAGCTCCTTTCAGTGCACCTTTCAATCAGTTCGTTCCGTCGCTTCACTATCTATTGCGCCTTCCCCACCCCTCCTTTTCTTCTGCTTTGTATTTCTCCGCTGGAGAAGGATGGAGACTGAACTCTGTCACTGCTCCCCTCCATCCCTCTCCGTAGCTCCGCTTTTCTTTTCCTTACCATTCACACTTTCTCTGCTTCCTTCCATCCCTCTTCCCAACTTTTCCCCTTGTATCCGAACAGGTTGCCTTCCGTCCCGCCTCCTCCTCCCCAGTCCCCACTCAACTCGCCCTCATCACCACCACTGGAAGATTGCAATTGATCGACCTGCATCACCCCCCTCCCTCCCTCTCCTCCTCCTATCCTTCCTCCTACTCCTCTCCTTTCTCCTCGTCCTCCCTCCTTGCTCGACCCGTCCCCTTAGGGGCAGCTCCTGGCAGCAGGGAGTATAGCTACAGTAAATTCTCGTTAAGATCAGGGAAAAGTGGTGTAGAACCAGGAGGAGGAGGAGGGGGAGGGGGAAGAGGTTCGGCGGATTGGACCACCTCCATCGGTGGAGTCGCCTTGGGAGGTCCGGTCCGAGGCTGGGGCAGGCCTGGCTCGGCAGCAGGCGCGGCATTCCCATCCGGCCTAACCACAGGCTCGGGGCTAGGCTCGGCGGAGGAAACAGAAGAGGCTCGGAAGAAGCGGTGGGAGGAGGAGGTGAGGTGGAGGGAAGCGGAGGGGCGGCTGGGGTGGGAGGGATGGTGGCAGTGCGAGTATGTGGGAGAAGGGGAACCGCATATACTGCTGACCGCCTGTGCGGACCAGATCGGAATGGTTGATCTTCGAATGGACATGAGTAGGGCAGCCCGTGGGGCGAGAGGAAGCGCAGGAGCAGGAGCAGGAGCGGGAGGAGGAGTAGGAGGAGGGGGGGGAGTGGGAAGGGGAGGAACGAGAGGAGGAGAGGGGAGCGGAATTGGTATCGGGCTGGTGTCAGCAGTGCAGATTCCGCAGCACTCGCTGCCGTCCTCCCTCTCCACGCTCCCCTCGCATGCTCCGGTCCTCCGCCAGTCCTTCTGTGCCCTCGCCACCCCTGCCTCCTCCTCCTTCCTCCCACCGTCTTTCTACTCCTCACCTTCTTTCCCCACATCAGCTTCAACATCACCATCAACATCAGCATCAGCATCAGCATCAGCATCAGCGTTTGGACCTACTGGTGGGCTGGACAGTCGCTGGTTTGCGGTGGCGTCCAGTCGTCTGGTGATGCTCTTTGACCTTCGCAACACTGTCGCGCCGCTGCTGCAGGTGAGGTGTGCTTGAGATGCGTACAGCACAGGTGTATGGGTGCATGTGCAATGACCGCACACGACACTAGTCGCCTTGTGATGCTCTTTGACCTTCGCAACACTGTCGCGCCGCTGCTGCAGGTGAGGTGTGCTTGAGATGCGTACAGCACAGGTGTATGGGTGCATGTGCAATGACCGCACACGACACTAGTCGCCTCGTGATGCTCTTTGACCTTCGCAACACTGTCGCGCCGCTGCTGCAGGTGAGGTGTGCTCGAGATGCGTGCAGTGCAGGTGTATGGGTGCATGTGCAATGACCGCACACGACACTAGTCGCCTCGTGATGCTCTTTGACCTTCGCAACACTGTCGCGCCGCTGCTGCAGGTGAGGTGTGCTCGAGATGCGTGCAGTGCAGGTGTATGGGTGCATATGTACTGAATCCACACACACACTAGTCGCCTCGTGATGCTCTTTGACCTTCTCAACACTGTCGTGCCGCTGTTGCAGGTGAGAGTGAGGCCATGAGTGATTGAAGTGCTCTCTTTTCTATTCATCTTTTTTTCTCTAGTGGGAGCATGGTATGGAGGATGACCCGCCCTTCCTTTTGAGGCGTTTCACTGGGATCCCGGTTATCACACTTATTCCCACCCATTCTTCTATTTTTGAGTCGACTAAAAAACAGACTCATCCCCTTTATCACGCTTATCGGCCATACCCTTTATCACACATATACCCACCCATTCTTCTCTGTCTCTTCCAGTGGGAGCATGGGATGGAGGATGACCCACCTCGCCTGCTGCACTTCAACTACCTCGGAGCAGCTTATAAAGAGGATGGGCGGACCAAAAAAGCAGCTAATCACTGGCGACGGAGCAGCAGCACCAGTGAAGCTACTGACTCCTGCATTAACGGAAGCTCCTCAGCGTCACGCCTGATACCATCACAGCTGCTACAGTCACACTCGAGAATGGCAATGAACGGACCTCCCACTCCCTTCGTGCCTCTTCACGATGCCAAGGGTGAGTCACCAAGAGACTCAAAGGGAGTGAACTCAAGGGTGAGTCACTCAAAGCTATATGTGGAAGTTCACTCCCATTCCCTCTCCCCCTCCCAGTCCCACTGCCCATTATCACGTGGGCCACAGTTGCTCTCACTGTGGACCTTTGTGTCATAAATAAAGTCACCTCTCTCGTCTGCTCTCTCCCTCCCTTCCGTTGCTCCCAGCACCCCCACCACAGATCACACTGACAGCAGCTGCCTTGGGATCAGGCCGGATCATCACATGCCCTATTGCTCTCACCACTGCCGCTCCTCTTCCTCCTCCTCCTTCTCCTTCTCCTTCCGTGATTGCTGCTGCTGCGGCTGCATTCAAAGGAACAGCAACAGCAGGTGCTGAAGCAGCAGCAGTCAAAGCTGAAGCTGCTGCTGCCCGTCGGGCAGTAAAACGTTTCCAGGCTGCCCAGCGGCGCACGCCGCACCTCTTCCGAGCCTTGTCCGGAGGTTTGGCAGCCGTGGCTGCCGCCCCGTTCCCCTCCTGTGCTGGTGGTGTGGATGTGAGTGTATCGAAGGGTATGATGATTAAAGCAGCAGATAGAGAGGAAGGGGAGGAGGAGGAGGAGGAGGAGGAGGAGGAGGAGGAGGAGGAGGAGGAGGAGGAGGAGGAGGAGGAGGAGGAGGAGGAGGAGGGGGGGGAGGAGGAAGGGAAGAGGAGAGGAGGAGGAGTGGGGAAGGGCAGAAGGAGAAACAAACAAAAAGGGTACAGCACTAAGAAGCACGCATCCTCATTACAAGCATCTTCACTATTACAACACCCTAGCGCACCCAGAGGTCCTCAATTCATATCCACACCGGCCCTCCTCCCTCTAGAAATCCCGAGCCCCTTCGAGAGGAAGCGTCCTAGAAGCATCCTGCCGCGGTCCCTAGATCCTGTAGACGTGCTGCAGGCCTCTCAGCCAATCCCAGCTGTCCACGTGGCAGGCACTGCACTTGCTCCAATTGCTGGCCTTGCATGTATAAGCACGGTGCCGTGTGCTTATAATGAGGCTCGGCCCGACAGCCAATCAGGTGGTGGTAAGAAAGCAGCAGGGGGGTTGGCAGCTGAGGCGGGGAAACATGAGGGAAGATTTGATTTGATTCAGCTGACGAGGCTTGGAGATGTGTGGGCAGCATCGTACGGCATGGAGTGGGAGGGGAGGAAAGACAAGAGGAAACGGGGAGAGCAGGATGGAAGGAAGGAGGGTTTCTTACAAGAAGAGGAGGAAGAGGAGGAAGAGGATGAGGAAGTGGAGGAGGAGGAAAAGTAGGACGATGAGAAGTTAGTATGTTCTAAAGACAAGAGCGACGGGAGAAAGAGGAGGAGGGGGAGAGGGGAGAGTGGGGGTGAAGAAAGGAGGAGAAAGACAGCAGGAGGGAAGTTTCCGGTGGTGCAGGCAGCAGCATCTGCTGGGAGTGCATGGGAGCAGCAGGCAGCACATGTGGTGAAGAGGAAGAGTGACAAGTTCGCTACTCCGAAATCATACACCATCCAGCTACCAAATGTGGCACAATGTGAGTCTGAGTCTGAACACTGAAGATTGTTGGCTGGGGGGAGGTTTTCTGTGGTGCTGGGAGTGCAGTGGAACAGAAGGCACCAGTGGAGATGGGGAAGAGTGGCGAGTTCGCTGCTCCGAAATCGTACACCATTCGGCTGCCAAACATCGCACACTGTGATGTGAGTGCCATATGCTTCTGAGGGTCCTTTATATGCCTGGTGGTGAGATGTGTTATGAGTCGGCTCAAAACACTGAGGGTCCTTAGGATGTCCGGCGGTGGGATCGACAAGTCTTGGTGGTTTGGCCCTGCACCTGCTGGGAAGAGGAGGCGTGAGGGATGGCATGGCTGCTGCAATCCGTGTTTCATTCACCTCTCCTCCTTGCATTCTTGTGTCCCTTTTGTCTTGATGCAGATGTGCGCTCGCTCTGGATCCAGTGGTTGGTAGGAAGGGGGAGAAGGAGGAATGACGGAGGCCAGGCATGTTTCACTCACCTGTCATGTCTGTGATGTCTTTTTGTCTTGATGCAGATGTTCGCTCTGCTCTGGATCCAGTGGTTGGGAGTAGGAGAGGGGAGAAGGCGGAAGGAGAGGAGGTGGAGGCGAAAGGGGGCGAGGCGAGAGAAAGAAGCACCGAGAGGGATGTTAGGGTGAATCCACAACACAGGCGGAAAAAGCCGCAGCAGCAGCAGGAGGAGGAGGAGGAGCAGGAACAGGAGAAAGAAGAAGGGCGATTGGAAGTGTCACTGGCGAGAGTAGCAGAAATCTGCACAGGAGGAGAGGGCACGACAGCATGGCCTCTCACATGGTAAGATGGAGTGCAGTGGGATTGTGTGGGGTGGAGTGGAGTGAAAGTCATTTGGGTGCTATTGACTGTTGGTTTGAGTCGTCTCAAAGCTCACCTCATCCGCACAGGAGGAGAAGGCACGACTGCATGGCCGCTGACATGGTAAGATGGAGTGGAGTGGGGTGGGTTGGGGTGGAGTGGAGTGAGGTGGGATGGAGTGGAGTGGAATGGATGGGAGTGGGGTTGAGTGGATTAGTGAAGGGAGGGAGGTTGCAAAGCGATTGATGGATTTTACTAACCACCTTGCCCGACCCATTTGCTCCCCCATCCCTCCCCAAAACCAGTCACGAGATTGCCGAGGCAGCAGTAGACGCCCAGCCACCCCAGCCAATCGCCGAGCGCCACATGGCAGCACGGGGGCAGCGGGTGGACTCAGCTCTGCAATCCCTGGGTCGCTTGGGGTTCCTGGGGGAGAGAATTGGCGGCACTATTACCTCTGCTGCTGCTGTTGCTGGTGCTGCTGCTGCTGGTGCTGGTGCTGGTGCTGATGCTGGTCCGAGTAACAATCGTTTTGGCATGTCATCCCAGAATCTGGACCCCTTCTCGCAGACCTTCCCGTTCGCGACACAGCAGAGCTTCTTTCCTTCCCAGACACACCACCACATTCCCTCCCAGGCAACTCCTTTTGCCTCCCAGCCATACCAGTTTGCCACCCAGCCAGACCACCATTTTGAGTCGCAGCAAAGCTCCTTCCAACCGTTCAGTGGCTCTCAGAACCCTCTTGGATCGCAGCAGTTTCTTTTCGACACGCAGGAAAGCATCGCGCCCTCTCACATGCTGCCACCTGGGAGCTTGCACGCGAATGCGGCGCTGCCAGGTCAGCACGTGCAGCCGCAGCAGCTCATGGCAGGTCAGCAACGGGTGACCGTGCCGTGTAAAGGAGACGAAGCCGCAGCAGCAGCAGTAGGGGGAGAAGGAGCAGGAGCAGCCGCAGGGGAAGCAGGAGCGGAGAGTGAAACTGTGGCAGCTTTAACGGATCGGTCACTGTTCCTGGCATCACTCCCTATCGGCCCAGCTTGGCCCGATGCTGTGATGCTGCCAGGGCAACGGAGGAGAGGAGGGAGAGGGAGTGAGGGAGGGAGAGGGGTTGGAAGTGGTTGGAAGGAAGAAGGGTCAGGGGGGGCGGAGGGAGGAAATGCAGAGGAAGGGAGGAGGAGGGAGAGGATTGGTCCGCATCGGCAGCAGGCCGCTTGTCACGTTGTGATAGGGCGGTGGGACGAGGCGATTCAGGAGTGGACGGCGGAGAAGGACAAGGGGGAAATTCCGACACTGCAGTTTGACAAAGGTGAGTTTGAGAGGGGAAAGTGGTTGGTGAGAAAGCAAGGAGGGGTTGCGTTGTGATTCTATGCTGAGCATTTGAGATTTCTTGCCAATTTTGTCCAATGCTCTTCTCTTCACCACACCCCCCTTGAAGTATGTGCCATTCATCTGTATTCATTGTTTATTCATTGCCTTGTTGCTCCATCTGCGTTTTGTGCATGGTAGATTTGCCAGAGGCTGACGAGATGGAGCAAGCAAGCATTGCAAGAATCATGGCTGCATGTAGAGAAGGATATTTTGGAATGTAGAAAGTGTGCTTCATGGCTGAGGTAGCACTTGATGCCTGTAAGTGACAATTGTTTTTGTTCTACTCGAGTGTAGATATCGCTTCATTAGGAGCCTGGCTGTTTCGCGGTGAATCGAGGTGGTTGGGTTTGGTTGGGTTGGGTCGCATGGAGCTCCACGTGATTACACCTGGTCTTCCTGTACGCTTCCTCCGCCTCGACTCACAGAGTGGGTTCCGCCTTCAAACCTAGGCCGCATTCTTCATCTCCCGATCACCTGGGATGTCAATCGCGAAAACATGACAAGGTTTTGATATGTAAACTGATGTGGTATTTGGTTGACACGAGTTTGGCAGGGGCTTCTTGGCTATCTGCGTTGGGATGGGTTCCGTTCCGTCGTGTGTGAGGTGTTGATTGTGCAGCCCTCTCCTCTCCTGGCGCTATCACTGTTGCTGTTGGTATTGCTGTTGCTCTTTTTCGCTCCGCGCTGTCCATGGTGTTGCTGCTCATTTCTGCTGCAGCTCCTGCTCCTGGTGCTCTTGCTGCTTTAGCTCGTTATTTTTGGTCTTCATGTTCGCGTTTCTACCATGTTAGCTAGTTTCTTTTTGCTCTCCTCGCACGTTCCCTCCTGAACACTGTTTAGTAAAAGCGGTCCGTTCTTTGTAACGGTTATTTATCTCCGCGAGAACGCAATCCTAGGGCAGCCATGCACGAACACGAAGGCGGTACCCTCGCAAACGGCACCTTGCCAAACGGCGATTTGAAGGGCAATGCGGACCCGGCGGACGTAGAACGACTACGGCTACGAATAAAGCAGCTGGAAGCCAGCCTGGCAGCCGCCTTATCTGAGTCAGCAACCGCCAAAGCTGACTTGGCTTCCGTCAATGCCAAGCTGGCAGTCGTTCGGCGGGAAAAAGAGGTCGCGGTGCAGGCTGCGGACCGTCGGATTGAAATTCTACGAAGAGAATTAGCGGTTCTGGTAGACGAGCGAGAAGAGGACGCTGAGATAATCGCTCAGGGGAAACGGAGCGTCGATAGAGCAGAAGAATATCTCCGAGCTTTAGACGTCGCGAAAGTGGAGATTAAGAAATTAAGACTGGAAAGAGATTTGCTGCAGGAGCGGATTCAGGCGTTGGAGCATGGAGGCGGAGCGGGAGGCGCTATGGCGACGGTGGGCTGGCTCATGCCGCCGTGCCTGATGAACGTGTCCGAGCCGCCTCGGTTTACGCCTGACACGCCTCGGTAACTACCACCTTACTGACTTAGGTCGCACCAGCAGCACTCGTACAGGCCGAGGGTGTCGTGGATGCGGCAGAGGCTGACTAAGTTGTGGAGGAAGCGGAAGTGGCTGACTTGGAGGGAAAATCGTTGCTGAGGAAGTGGAAGTTGGCTGGCTCGGAGGGAGGGTTTGTGAAGAAGACAAACAATAGCAGTTTCCACGCTGGGAATTCGTCCCCCAGTTTTAGGCTGATTCGGTACCATTTAAGGAGACTTCACTCATGGGTGTGTTTCATCGTGCCTGCTGCTGTAGTTGAGGCTCCTGATTCGTCTCACTCAACTGACTTCGGAGGTGAACTGATGCTTCAATCTCTGGCTAATGCTACCTTCCGTGAAGTGACTTGAGCAGCCATGGCTCCTCTTGGGAAGTTGACTGACTTGTAGGGAGGGGGTCTGTGAAGACGGACAAAAGCTGTGTTCTCGAAGCAGCTGCCAGTCATTGTGAGGCTGAAGCAGGGTGGATGGCAAATCGTTTGGGTAAGCCATGTTCAGGATCTTTCTTGTTGGTGGCAGGGTCAGAAGAGCTGTAAGCATATGTATGGGGTTTCGGTCTCTGTACAGCATGACAGTGTAGAATTATGTACTTGTACATTATCATCGCATTGTGTGTTCACCCTAATGGTAAGCACAAAGAATCCGGACATGGTAGTATACATTATGTTGTTCATTTAGTTTGAAGAGTCTATTTGTTATTGCCCTTTCAGACACCGTATCGCTGTTGTACTTCTTAGAATTTTACTATCCGATGCTTGTGTAGTTGCAGCGCGCAATCTGGAACGTCCAGTATCGAGTATATCTGTTCATCTCCACCTCTCCCTTCTCCCCGCATTCGTCAAGATGCCAGCAGAGCAAGAGCTGCAAGAGGCCAGCGCGACCCCACCCCAACCCACCTCACCCCACCCACCAACCCCAGGTGCCAACAACCGGCCATAGGGATTGCCGCCAGCTCTGATTCTCCTCACCATCAATTTACCACAGAGAGAACTTCGGCCATTGAGGGGGGGGGGATTTCGAAGCATTCGTTGCCTCAACACGCTAGTATGGACTGTCTGTATCTATAGTAGCACGACGCATTCGACGCATCGACTCGACAGAACAGGTAGCAGCACAAGTCACTTCACACCTAGTTTATACTCCGCCGCCTATCATTTGATATCTTTTTCTGCGCTTTCAAGTGGATTCCCGCTGTGGGCGACGGGAGTTGCTTTGTGTGACGCTGTCGCGAGATAGCATAGTAACTGGTAGAGGCCACGTGTTGACTTTAGCACCATTTTCGCGGAAAAACGTATATTTTCAATAGCGGTATCCAGCATCGTCTTGTCGCTCGTCGTCAACCCGACGGAGAGGGATTGTATCGTTCCGAGTTCGTCAACGACCGGATATTAAAAGCCAAACCTACCAGGGAATATTACAGAACCTTCGGAAAGGTCCAAACCGTTAGTAGAAGGTAGTTACGCCTGCTGCTCGTGCCAGGCTGAAGTTTTCGGACTGGAATGACAACTACTACGGAAATGCAGTCAAAACAACACGGTCTAGGAACACCTTCAGCTGACGCCTACATACCCGCAGAGTCAGCTCCAGCGGAAGAGCCTGAAGAGGTGCGAGTCCTGCGGGCCGAAGTGCAGCTGCTAAAAGGCGGTCTGGCGCGCGCGAGGGAACGCGAAGCGGCCGCGTTGCACCAGCTGCAAGAAGTCGCCGCCGCGGCGAATGCCAAGCTCGCAGTAGCCAACGCTGAGGTGGCGTCGGTGCGTGCTGAGCTGTCAGCAGCGAACGCCAGAGCGAATGCAGCGCGAAGGGAGAAAGACGCGGCGATGATGGCGGCAGATAGACGGATAGACGCTCTGCAGAGGGAGCTTTCAGTGTTGATGGAAGAGAGGGAGGAGGCGGCAGAAGTGGCGGTGGCGGGACGGGAGAGCTTAGACAGAGCGGAGGAGTATCTAAAAGCACTGGATATCGCAAAAGTGGAGGTTAAGAAGCTTAGACTTGAAAGGGATATTTTGATGGAGAAGAATAGATTGCTGGAAGAGGAGAAGAATAAAAGGTCCGCGTCTTGGGTCATACCTAGCTGCTTGTTGAAGTCTTGACATTCAATACATACTAGCTGTTCAATAATTATTCAAAACGACACTAGGGCCGTGGCTTGTGTCTACTGCGGTGCGTACCAAGACTTAGGAGACGCTTGGGTGGCCTGAGTGGCTTTAGTGAGAAAGCGGGTTGGTCTGAAGTTCTGCGTGGTCTTCTTGTCGCACAGAAAGAAACATTACCTGAAAGGAAATGCCATTGGGCCTCCAAAAGTGTTGTGTTGTGGTGGATCTTATCGTCCAATGCAAAAGTAATGCAGCCTTTGTATCGAAGTGCCTACTGACGGGGAATCTCGTACAGCTGCAGTGCCCCGTCGAGTCATCGCGTTCGAACGAACAGAAGTGCTCTCAATCGCTCCAGACCCGACAGCATATTTCTGTGATGTTGCCAAGTGCAGTTCAGCCTGTGCATGGAACCCACTGAAGCGATTTCAAACGCATTGAAGTGACAGGAACGCACTGGCAAATGGGTACCTACACTTGATCAATATTGGTCGAAGCGATGACAATGACTCCATGGCCATGGCGGAGAGCTTTAACTCGACCAATGTGTAACAATTTCTTGACATTTCAAGGATTAGAAGCTTCTAGGCGATGCACGGCTTTAAGCTCTTTACAACGGTGCCTTTATAGTGTTCATTACGGGAACCTAGACACCTGTTTTTTGAGTTCCAGGCTATCGTCAGAGCTACACCTAACCTTAACTCAAGAGGCTTCATGCTTTTATCAACAGAGTTATCAGCAGCTCCATGGATCCTTCCGCGGTGCACAGTCATCTCTGGCTGCTGCGCGCGTCAACACCAGGGGTTTCAAGCATCAAGTTTCCCAGGTCTCTTTGGAAAGCAACTACCAGGGCAGGGAACCATTCTCTAAGGCGCCTTGCGCAACATCTGGTCTGGATCTGCAACGGTTTGCCTTCAAGCACAGGAGATATAAATCGCTGGTTTCCAGTCAGTATGTGCTCAGAACAGCTTGTTTTTCAGCCATTTCTCGACTGTTAAGCATATCTCATCATCGCACCATGGCGAAGGGACGCAACAGCAAGAATGGCAAGAAAAGCGTGGACAATGCGCAGGCTAAGGGAGTGTCGGACGTACCTGACGTACATGTGACGGATCCCGTCGGTGGTGAGAAATCGCCTGCAAGCTCGGCGTCGGACACGGTTTTGGGTCCTTTCGAAGCTCTCCTGGATCTGCCGATTGGTGCTGAGCAAGCTGCTGGATCAAGCCAGAAAGAGTCGGATGGGAAGGAAGAATCTGCTGCTCATCTGCAAGACCCTGATGCGGAGGGGGGATCAAAGGATGAGGATGCTGCCGGTGACATTGACAACAACGGTGATGACTTGCAGCAATCTGAATCCCCTGGGGATGAGGATGATGGTTACCTGAGTGATGACTCTGACGAACATCTGGAGCCGGATTCGCTTAACAGTGTCATTGCTCTTAAGCGATTCTCACTAACCTTACTGGTGCCGATTCTCAGGAGTGTTGAAGTCAAGCGTGCTGCAGTGACAGTAGCTGCGATGCTGGATGAATGGAAGGAGCTGCTATCGTCAGAAATGCTGCAGACTACGACGTACCAAGATCTAACGGCGGTGTACTTCTCTGGTGCACGCTACGGACGGCTGCAAGTCACTTTCAACAATGTCCGGGACGCAAATTTTTTCTGGAATCAAGTCATTCGCCATGAGTGCGTAAACGGAGACTTCATTGATCTCGCCTGGCAGCATCCGGAGGACGCGCGTTTTCTCCGTGAGCGTGTGCTGAACCCCATGGCTAAGGAGATTGTGGTTAAAAATGTACCGGCGGACTTAACAGCGGAGTTGATTCGTCGGCTGTTGGTGGTGTCGAAGCTGGTCAAGAGAGGAAGGAGTGCGTTCGTCAGCGGCTTTGGCTTCCATCGGACGGTTGACCCAGTGACTGGGCTGGATACTGATCGCATCCGTGGTCTGATTATCCCGCACGCTGGTGATGAGTATCGGTGGAGGTATTTTGTGGAAGACCCTACCACAGGGAAGCGTTACCTGCTGCACTACCCGTCGCTGACCTGTGACCTTTGTGGGGGTCAGCATCTGTCGCGGTACCACGATCGTTACGTCACACCGAGGCAGGAGAACTTCAGCAACTGGAACCTGTCTGTTAAGAAGGTTCACGAGATGAACGGTATAAGCAGTGGAGAGCCTTACCCGCTGTCGGTGTGCTCCTTGCCTCTTGTTCTTACCCTCTCCCACGATACAGACGGATCTCTATCTTTCCCTCCTCGCAGCTGCTTCCTTGATAGCTTCAGACCTCCTGAAACGCATCATGAGGGACCCGGCAGTTATCCTTTCTTCTACCGGGGGTGCGCGGGAGGAGTGGATCTGTGTTCAGGCAGCATGCGAGAAGGCACAGGGAAACCGCTTCGAACAAGCATCTGCGCACATCGCATCAGCTCGGCACAAAGGGGGGCTCAAGAAGGAGGGATCGGCAACGCGTGTCAGTGTGTCTTCTCAGAAGATGATTGCGTTCAAGAGGGAGTACGTTGCAAAACCGGCGAAGTGAGGAACAACTGCAGCACGGGGGGGATTGCTTCACAGCAACATGGTCGCGTTTTCCGCCGTAACACCCAGGAGGGAACTTCTCGAATAATCTGCCCAGGGAGGCTGAAGGCAGTGGAAACATGGGAGGTTCAGAGGGAGAAGGTGACTCAGGAGCTTCATGCAGTAGCAGTAGGTGGAGCAGTAGTTTGCATCTCGCTAGCATCAGCAGTAATCTGTGGTGTCATCTTGGCAGTAAGAATCTTTAACCGTTGGAGGCTGTTGACAGCAGCGAAGCGTGACGCAACACAACTTGCAGGCCCGTGGATGAAGAGGGGTCTCAATCAGTGGTCAAATGGATAAAAACCATGAACTTACCATCGGCGCGCTCAATGTCAATGGATTGGGCCGCGCGGAGAAGCAAGAGGGATTGCAGGAGTGGCTTAACAAGTCAAGGGGAATCGTAATACTTACAGACACAAGGTTGCAGGAAGACCACAACTTCTGGACTCAAACAGGGTCGGAGGCGAGGGCAGTGGTCTCGTCTGCTGACACGGCAGGAGGGGTGGCAGTGTTGAGCTTTAACAAAGAGGTTGTTTTCAGTGATACCCATGTACATGAGTCGGGAAGACTGGTAGCGGTTTCTGTTCGATGGAGGGAGCTGGCATGGACGCTGGTAGCAGCGTATTTTCCTGCTCAAACAACAACAAGGGGGGCCTTCTACAGAGAGTGCCTGTCAGTTTTTGTGGACACACTTCCGGCCTCGGGTCATCTGCTGTTGGCGGGCGATCTGAATATGGTGGCTGACCCTATCATGGATAAGACATCAAAGGGGGGTTCGGATGCGGAAAATCAAAGGGTGCTGGACATTTTTTCGAGGTGGGACCTGAAGGATGCATTCGGAACGTTATATCCGTCGAAGCTGGAGTATACTTTTCTTGCGAGGTCGACGATGACGAGCTCGCGTATTGATCGCGCGCTGGTTTCGGCCTCGTTGTTACCAATGTTGGCGGATGCGTATCATATGGCGACTCCGGTGGGAGTCACTGATCATTGGTTTGGTGTCACCACAGTGCTGGCGGCAAAGACGGGAACAGAAGGGGGACCTGGGTTATGGAGAATGCATGCTGCGCAAGCAAGCAGTCCGGGGGTGCGGAACACGATTCAAAAGGTGCTACAAAGTCAGTCAGGGCAGGGGGGGAAGAAGCTGCAGTCCACCTTCACCATGCTGCAGGCCAGCCTCAAAGCCCATGCAAGGGAGGAGAGGAAGAGGATTGGGAGAACCATCGCTCACCTGGAGGATAGGGTAGCTGCGTTGAGACAGGAGTTTATGGCGGATACGGGTTTACAAGGTAAATTTGATGAGCTGGTGAAATTCGAAGCGCAGCTGAAAGCATACAGAGACAGCCAAAGGAAGCGGAAGCAGACGATGGCAGGAGTAGGAGAGGAAATGGCTGGGGAGATTGCGATAAAATTCTTAACCAGGAGGATTGCGTCCAAGAAAGCAAAGACGTTGATTAAGATGGTGGTTCATGACGGGAGATGCTACGACGGGGAAAGAGAGGTGCTGTCGGCAGCATCGGATTTTTTCACCAAACTTTTCCAGGGTAAAACGCAATCTGCTGAGGTGGAAGAGTGGCCGATAGACCCGCAGAAGGTTTTGGATGGTGAGGGGGTGAGCCGCTTAGCTGCGCCATGGTCGGAAGCGGAGGTGAAAAAAGCGATAAAGGAGCTCCCGAGAGGCAAGGCGCCAGGAGCGGATGGTCTGCCGAAGGAGCTGTTGGAAGACAATTGGGACCTGTTGGGGGTCACTGTGATGGACTTCATGAGGGAGTTTGAGGCTACTGCGAAACTGCCGGAAAGCTTCTCAACGGCGGTAACGATCCTTCTGCATAAAAAGGGGGAGAAGACAGATCTGGGTAACTACCGGCCGATTACACTTCTAATCGCGGTGTACAAGATAGTCGCGAAGCTGCTGGCGAACAGGATGAAAAAAGTATTGCCGCAAGTTATCTCGGAGAACCAGTTCGGCTTTGTCCCAGGCAGGAGGCTTGCGGATGCGGTCAAAGTGGTAGCGGACACGATCGATGCTGCGGTGCAAGGGAGTGAGGACTGGTGCTTACTTCTTGTCGACTTCCAAAAGGCCTACGACTCAGTGTCGCGCACCTTCCTCTTCCGCACGCTGGAACAGATGGGCTTTCCGGAGGTCTTCATTAAGTGGTCCAAAGGGCTTCATGACCAGGCAGCGACACAGCTCCTAATAAATGGATGGCTGGGAAAGAAGGTTGAGGTTGAGTCAGGAGTACGGCAAGGGTGCCCGCTGGCGCCGTATCTCTTCATCTGCGCAGCAGAGCCACTAAGTCAGGAGGTTAAAAGAAGGAAGTTGGGGCTGCGGAAGAGAGGGAAAGGGGACCTGTCATACCTGGGGTATGCTGACGATACGACGCTTATACTTCAAGGCAAGGAGCAGCTGGCAAAGGCGCAGGAGGTACTGGAGGACTTCGGCGTCAGGTCAGGGCTGCAAGTTAACCGGGGGAAGTCAACAGTGATGCGGCTGGGGAGAAACAGGCTGCTCCCTTCGCAAACCGACACGAGTTTCAGCTGGGCAGAAAGGGACAAACCGGAGAGACTGTTAGGTATCTGGGTTACGGCAGACGGGAAAGCGGAGCCGACATGGGAGAAAACGCTGGAGCGGGTCAACACGATACTGCGAAACTGGGAAAAGCTGCACCTTACCACAACAGCGAGGGTAACGGTTCTGAACGCTTACGTGATGCCGGTGATACTCTTCCAGGCGCAAGTCTATCAGCCGCCGAAGCTGATTTGGAAGAGGATTCTGAAGTTATGTCACAACTTCATATCGAAAGGGTGCGCGGATGAGGAGAAGCACTTTATCCTTTGGAGCGAGTTCCTGGCAAACCTGGAAAGGAAGGGAGGGGGACTCGGTATGATTAACCCAACGGACAGAATCAACAGTCAGGCGTTATGGAACCTCGGGGCAGCCCTGCTGGAAGAGAACCCGATGAAGCAGTGGTTGATGGAGAAGGCGGCGAACATGCCCCTGGGTTGGGCAACATTGCTGGCGCATAAGGCCATTCTTGCTGAGTGGAAGGGAGGCGGGGAGCGGTGGCAGTCGTTGGTGCCGCTCGTATGGGAGAAACAACTGCCGGAGCTACCGGAACCTGCGGACAGGTGGGAGATGGAGAAGGAACAGTTGTGGCTCAGCAAGTGGATTCACTATCAAGGCAGTAGCCCGTTCGGGAAGCAAAAAGGCTCGGAATGTCTGAAGGGGATGACAGTAGGGGACTTACTTCAGGAGGAGTATAACGGCAGTCGGGTGGTGAAAGATTTATGGGCGTTAACTAAGCAGACAGGGAGATCGTCCACGGCGAGGTGGGCGCTTCTGGCCTGGAAGGCAGTCCCGGAAAGCTGGAAAAACAAACTACTCGTGAAGGTGTCGGCGGAGGAAATTGCTGAAACGACTACCCTGGTCAAGGTTGGAAGGGAGACAGGGGGGAGGCAGTGTTACTGGCAAGTGGCGCTGGCGGGGGACAATGAGTTGAAGTGTGAGAGAGTGGAGGTGGACAGTAAAGGGAAAATCAAGCAGTTAGGTGTTGAAGTACAGCCGCCGGAGAGGCTGAGTATGTTAACCCCGATGGTGGCTAAAGGAGGGTACGTGGTGGGGTGTGCAGGTGATTCACTGACGCGACTAAGGACGTCATTTCTGTGCGAGGAAGGGAAACCTAAGGCGCAGAGGAAGCTAAGACATCTGCTCAAGAAACCGGCGCAGCAGCCTAAGCAGCAGAAGAAGTGGGAGGAGAACTGGGGAGGGAAGATTGACTGGGGAAAGGCCATCGCGAAAAGAGACTCGCTGGTGATCCCAGCCAAAGCAAGAGAGGTACCGTTGAGGCTTCACAGTTACAATTTGCAAGTGGGCAGCAGGCTGGCTTTCTTCGGTTCCCGTGCATGCTGCCCATACTGCAAGCAGGAGGAGACGCCAACGCATTGTCTGATGAGCTGCCCGGTGGTTATGGGAATATGTGGCGCGCTTCAGGACTCGCTTCGTCTGCTTAACCCAACCAGAGCGGTTGGAACACTGGGAGAGCTGCTATTCGCTGAAGACAGCACATCATCCGGATTTCCGGAATCCACGCTCGTTGCGATCACGTTCAGACACATTTGGCTGGAAAGATGTGACGCGGTTTTCCGACAGAAAACTTTTGAACCCAGACGGGTGGCCAGGAAGATTGGGGCCAATTTCAGGAGGCATGTGCGGATCTACAGTGAGGGGAGCGGCGGAAAAAAGGGACACATGGGGGGGGGAGTTGGAGGAGGACAACACCTGTCAGCTGGAGAGGCGGCAGCGCTGAGCCGCATCTGTGAGCAGGACGAATGTCTGACGTGGAACAAAGCATTCAGCTCGATATGGGAGAGGCCTAGTACCTTTTTTAAGCCTCCGTAAAGGGTCAATAGGGAGGACAGTGCAAACCGTATCAGAGTGGCCTGTGTCTTCCTCTTTTCTCAGTTACGACTGTGGATGTGATGCATTGTATAGTGTATTATGTCCCAAAAAAAAAAAAAAAAAAAAAAAAAAGGAACGCACTGGCGTTACAAACGGCCCAACAATAAGCACCAACTCCGCACTTCACGGCAATCAAAGTAGGCTTCTACCGTTTGTCGTTAGAGTCCGTGCGATCAGCAGTCGCACAGAGGCAGCTCGCATGAATTCGCACGCGAGAGGCCTTCCAGGTCGCCTGAGCGTCGCTCTGCGATCCGTGTCGCCATCGCGAGTCGCATTTTACGTCGCAAGAGTCGCACCCGTCGCTCGGTTAGATCGCCACCGTCATCTCCGCAGCCGCGTCCTGCTTTCCACGTCCAGGTCGCATCTTTTTGGTCTAAACTCATCCTGGCTTACCGTCAGCCATGGCTCCTCCTCCTCCTCCGCGGCCTCCCACTTCTCCTCCCCATTCTCCTCCGTTGCGCAACCTCGTTTCATCTCCCAAACGTCATTTCCCCAAAGTTCGAGGTTGCAAAACATACCCCGTTGTAGTCACATCAGCAACACCGTCACGGCCCAGTCATCTTCAACCAATCGGGAACAGCCACGTGTCCATGACCTTTCAGTTCACACCCTGCATTCCAGCCATGACACCGCGTCATCTCCTCCGCTCTCCGCTTATATTCACATCCCCTTCTGCCGCCGCCGCTGTCACTATTGCGACTTCCCTATAGTCACAGTTGGGGCCAGGGACCCATCTGTACATGAACGACTGAGATTGAAGATGGAGAATTACGTGGATCTGGTGATCAGGGAAATCAAAGCCAGTCATCCTCCCCTACCTCCTGACTCTCCTCACTCGCTTCACACTCCTCGCTCTCCTCCTCACTCTCCTCTTCGCACAATCCACTTCGGAGGGGGTACCCCCTCCCTCCTTCCACCGGACCTCCTCTCCAGGCTCGTCGACACCCTTCGCCGAACCTACGGCCTCGCTCCGGACGCAGAGATCTGCATGGAGGCCGACCCTGGCACGTTTGACGAGGCTCGGCTCCGAGCCTGGGTGGAAGGCTCGGGAGTGACGAGGCTGAGTGTGGGATGCCAGGCGTTTGACGAAGCACTGCTGAAGGCGTGCGGGAGATCTCATTCGCTTGCTGACGTGTACGATGCTGTTGATGCGGTGAAACGCGTGGGACTGGAGAATTGGAGCCTGGATTTGATTTCAGGGTGAGTGGGCAATGAAAGTGATTGGGGCACGGGTGGTTGACCAGATCAGATGAAGGCATGTGGGAGGAGGAGTCAGACTCTCTCTCACTCTCTTGCTGACGTGTATGTTTGTTTCCCTGCAAGAAAGGGAGGGAGCAAGCGACCATACTGTCACTATCTTTACCATGCACAATGCTAGTGCTGAGCGATAGATACTTACTTTGTCCCACCCATACCTCCATGCCATGCCTCCAATCTTCCCTTCCATCCCAACAAATGGCAGCTTGCCAGGTCAGACCCTCGACAGCTGGCACCACTCCCTCTCCGAAGTGATCCGCCTGGGCCCCAGCCACGTGTCAGTCTATGATTTGCAGGTGGAGCAAGGCACAGCCTTTGGCCGATGGTATTCACCCGGCCGCTCCCCCCTCCCCGCCGACGATCTTTCCGCTGACATGTACCGGGAAGCTTCCAGGCAGCTTCGTGCAGCGGGGTATGTTCATTACGAGGTTAGCAACTACGCAAAACCTGGCTTCCAGTCTCGGCATAACCGAACCTACTGGACGAATTTCCCGTACCTGGGATTCGGGCTCGGCGCGGCCAGCTATGTCGCTCGGAAGAGGTTCGTTCGGCCCCGAACCTGGGATGGGTACGGGGAGTGGGTCGGCAAGTACGAAGCTAGCAACGGAGTGATTGATTGGCCGGAGGATTCCAGAGAAGAGGAGCTGCTAGATACGGTCATGCTCGGGCTCAGGCTCGGGGAAGGCTTGGGAATGCCGGAGCTGGCGGGTAGGTTTGGCGAGGAGGCGGCGGCGGCGGTGGGGAAAGCGCTACTGAAATTTATCGAGACGGGATTGGTGGAAATAGTCCATGTAATGCCCGATGGAAGGATGGAGGTTATGGGAAGAGAGCAGCAGTGTGTGAGAGTATTGGAGCAGCAGTGGGATTTGATGGCTGCTCAAGAGAAAAGGGGTGTCGGGGTTGCAGGAGATGGTGTGAAGGGGGGTGTGGTGGAAGGCCCTACTGCAAGAAGGGGGAGTGAGGGTGGTGAGAATGCTGGTGGTAGGCGGCAGGTCAGGTGGCCAGACCTCAGAATGCGGCTGACTGATCCAGAGGGGTTTCTGGTATCAAATGATGTTATCTCAAGTGTGTTTGAAGCGGTTGGATGAGATTAACATGCTTGATATGCTCATGCTGTACCTACCTACTACTCAACTTACCGTAGGGCCTTCTCACACATGCGCTGCTCCAGCCAACGTGGGGTTCTTCCTGTCCTGCTTCTACACCAAGTGCCTCATGTTCAAGTTGAAACAGCGCTAGGCATGATATCAGCACGCAACGTACGGTACTGCCTGCCTTCTTATGAGGGGCATAGAAGTACATGCACTTGATACCGTGCTTTTTCTCTTTAACACTGCCCTGGCCCACATGGGGTCCTCTCTACCCTGCTTCTTCACCAGGATGCTTCATCCACCAATAGTAAAGACATAGCTAGCACGAGGCACGATATCGACATGCAAGGTTGGTGAGTTCTCATTTGGGTGCTGCCCTGGCCCACGTGGGGTTCTTCCTGTCCTGCTTCTTCATCACCAAGTGCCTCCTCTTTCCTCCACGGAGTAAACAATTACATAGCACTAGGCCTGATATGGAAAGCAGTTCCTTCTCATTTAGGCGCTGCCCTAGCCCACGTGGGGTTGTTCCTGTCCTGCTTCTTCACGAGGTGCAACCACAGAGTAAACACCTAGCGCTAGGCACAATTTCTCTTTACTTAGGTGCTGCTCTGGCCCACGTGGGGTTCTTCCTGTCCTGCTTCTTCACCAGGTGCCTCCTGCCCTTTCCTCTACAGCAATACTACATAGCTGCAAGAGAGAGCCTTTTCATTTGGGTGCTGCCCTGGCCCACGTGGGGTTCTTCCTGTCCTGCCTCTTCACCAGATGCCTCCTGCCCTTTCGTTGATTCTCCTCCGCAATTTCCAGGAACTTGCGCTTCCTGCATCACCCATAACAAGTAGGGGAAAGGGAGAACGGGGGAGGGCGGGGGGGAAATGCGGGGGTTGGGTGGGTTGGAGGGAGGTCAAATGGGAGGACCATTGTGGTTGTGGGGATGATGGACGGGGGTAAAGGGTCAAAGCCGAAGTTCCTGCCACTTCAAAAAGAGTTGCTTTCTTTAAAATCTTGAAAGCATTGTGCAACTAAATCGCCTGTACTTCATCAAATCCTCGTCGTGCAGCAGCTCTGCTACAAAGCTAGCAGCAGCAGCAGCAGCACCACCACCACCACCAGGACCAGGAGCAGCAATAACATGCGACTGCCTCTCTCACCTGTACTTCATCAAATTCTCGTCGTGCAGCAGCTCTGCTGCAAAGGCCCGCCTTCAAGTGTAAGCCACAGCACTGATTAAGCAGTAAACCGACAGCAGCAGCACCAATACACGGTCGAGCGACTGCCTCACCTGTACTTCTTCAAACCCTCATCGTGCAACAGCTCTGCTGCAAAGCTCTGCTTCCAGCCACAAGGCACAGCCGCACTCATATACCCATACCACCACCAGCAGCACCATCCCATCATCGCCTCACCTGTACTTCTTCAAATCCTCATCGTGCAACAGTTCTGCTGCAAAGCTCTGCTTCCGCTCCCTCCTTGTCAGCCTGCTGCTGTAAAAGTCTGCTGCTCCCTCCACCACTGTTCCGATCTGACAGATGAGGAGGACAAGTGAAGGAGGTAATGGAAGGGGCGGAATGCATGGCGTTGTTGCGGGAAGGGGTTCAAAGGGATAGCAAATCCTTCATATGCAAATGTTGATGACTGGAAAGGGACGAATGATGACTGGAAAGGGACGAATGATGACTGGAAAGGGACGAATGATGACTGGAAACCAGAGCGGGTAAAAAACAGGAAGCAATCACACACTAAGGACACGAGAAAGGGTACCTGAAAGTGCGTAGGAAGCTTCTTAGAATCTGCCGATCGATAATGTCTCTTGGGATCTAGAACGTTCCTCATCTGAACACAGAAGCACAGAGCAGAGCACAGAGCAGCACAGAGCAGCACAGAGCACAGTCACAGTAACAGTTGAGGAGAATGGCAGAGATTATCAGAATGTATTCACGTTCCCAGTCACTCACTCAGATAATAGACAAAATAACCTTGGCTGTAGAGTAGACCGAGACTGAAACTGAGATTGTGACAGACTGGGACTGAGAATGTGACTTACAACTGAGACTGAGACAGAGGCACAGACTGAGAAACAGAGGCAACACATTACCCGCAGCAACTGAAGCTCTGTCTTGATCTCAGGAGTTATATCCGGCGCAGGAAGGTCGTACCTGGGAGTCACAAAAACGAGGATTTAAGAGCCTTTGAATACAGAGAGCGAAGCGAAACTGCAAATTCGACAACTGGATTCATAATAATTCTGTAGGTACGAGTGCAACTAACACTAAGCCCGCACTTAGTCCGACCATTCCGAGTGCACATTGCACAACACCACCCAGCCACTCAGGCTAGCTCACCACTTGGGTCCGGCGGTGTTGGGTTTGTTCTTGCGTGCAATCTGAGCCAGCTTGTGAGGGTCCTTTGGAGGCACCTGCAACTGCCCCTCCACCCACTTCTCCCTCCCCTTCCCTCCCCCTTCTCCATCCCCACCTCCCCTTCCTCCTCCTCCTCCTCCCACGCTCCCTTTCCCCTCTCCTACCTCTCCTCCTTTACCTCCTCCCCCCTGCCCTCCCTCCCCCTCTTTCTGCTTGATAACAGACAATCGGATCCCGGTCGTGCTTCTTATGCCGCCCAGTTCGGAAGCTTCCCGCAAGACGATCCGTGCCGACCCAGTAGTTGCAACAGTGACTCCCCGGATGCCGGTGCTCTTCCCCCTCGCCACGTCAGGCTTGCCCCTTGCCACGTCAGCACCGGCGCCGAGTTTTAGAGGGAGCGGCTTAGCTTTGACAGGCTTATTTTTGTGGCGAGAGTGTGAGAAAAGGGAGGGGGAAAAGAGGGAGGAGGAGAGGGAGGAGAGGGAGAACGGAGAGGAGGAGGAGGAGAAGGTGGAGGAGGAAGAGGAGGGAAGGGTGATTTTGGGTTCCCAAACTATGGGGGCGAAGGAGCGGGCATAGTCGTCTAGTTTCCTGCATATGAAGTGAGAAGGGGTGGAAGGAATGGAAAGAAGGGATGAAGTTAGTGAGAAGGGATGGAAGTAAGGGCGTGAGGGATTGGGGCGAAGGAGCGGGCATAGTCGTCCTGAACCCTAGTTTCCTGCAAAGTTAGTGAGAAGGGATGGAAGGAAAAGGTAACGGGAGGAAGTAAGAGTGTGAAGATCTTGCACAAAGCAAGCGTGAGGGTTTTAGACATGGTAGAACGGATACGCGTGAGAGGGGTTCGGGCATGGGTTTGGGCCTGTTTTTTTGTTTTTTTGCAGGGTATGGGGTTTAAAAACATGGGTGGATGAGGGTAGGAAGGATGGGCAGTGTGGTGGTACGATGACAATGGTACGGTGTGACTTGCTCTCTCTCACACGGGCGACACTTACTTTTGCCTCACGGCTTGCTCGCTCAACACCATATACTCTTCCTCCCCTTCCTCCCCCCCCTCGCCCTCCTGATAGAAGGTTTGTTTTGAGACGTCTCAACACGAGAGTTACTTACTTTTGCCTCACTGCTTGCTCGCTCAGTACCATATACTCTTCCTCCCCTTCCTCCCCCTCCTCGCCCTCCTCCCTCTCCTCTTCCTCTCCCTCTTCCTCTCCCTCCTCCTCCTCCTCTCCCTCTTCCTCTCCCTCTTCCCCCTCCTCTTCGTTCTCCTCCTCTCCCACTTCCTCTCCCTCTTCCCCTTCTGCTCCGTCCTCCTTCTCTTCCCCCTCCATCTCCTCATCCTCCTCCTCGCTTTCCCCCCCTTCATCCGGTCTTTCCTCCTCTCCTGCTTCCTCTCCTTCCGCATCTGCATCCGCCTCTGCTTCCGCCTCTGCGTCCCCCTCTGCTTCCGCCTCTTCTTCCGCCTCTTCTTCCGCCTCTGCGTCCCCCTCTGCTTCCGCCTCTCCTTCCGCCTCTTCTTCCGCCTCTGCGTCCCCCTCTGCTTCCGCCTCTCCTTCCGCCTCTGCTTCCGCCTCTCCTTCCGCCCCTGCTTCCGCCTCTTCTTCCGCCTCTGCCTCCGCCTCTCCTTCCGCCCCTGCTTCCGCCTCTTCTTCCGCCTCTCCTTCCGCCACTGCTTCCGCCTCTCCTTCCACCTCTTCTTCCGCCTCTCCTTCCGCCTCTTCTTCCGCCTCTCCTTCCGCCTCTCCTTCCGCCTCTCCTTCCACCTCTCCTTTCTCCTCTCCTTCCGCCTCTTCTTCCGCCTCTCCTTCCACCTCTCCTTCCACCTCTCCTTTCGCCTCTCCTTCCGCCTCTCCTTCCGCCACTGCTTCCGCCTCTTCCCCATCTAAACCTTCCTCAACTTCTTCCTCCTCCCCACTCCTCTCCTCCTCCCCCTCGTCCCCATCATCCTCCCCGTTCTCCGCCCCTCCTTTCACCTCACCGCCTAACAAAGCCCCCTCATCATCCGCCCGATCCGCGTTTCCCTCGGATTCTCTCCCCGCTTCCGCGTCTTCCGCCGGAGCCGCGCTTCCCCCTGATCGCCCCCCCGCTTCCGCTTCCTCCACTTTAAGCGCAACCTCCACCGGTTGCTCCCCCGCCTCCTGCACCTCCTGTTCCTCCGCTACTGCCACCATTCCTAAAACCACGAGAAAATAACTTCGTTTTCAGTAGACGTTGCGGACTCCAGGAGGGCAAGGAGAAAGAAGGGCTTTAATTTCACGAGGGCTACTTTAGAAACGATCGTAGCTTGATGCCGCACACGTAAGTTTCAACGACAGGGAAAATCACTTCAAGGAATTATGTTGAAATGGGGTGAAAGGTCTATCTAGAAACCCGGAACCCTGCTAGAACCCCGAGGGATTTTTTTGTTCCATACAAAATGACCCGCTATGTTCGCCTCAAACTGCGTCTTGAAATCAACCTGCGGAACATTTGGATATTGATAAACATTTTGAATGTACTACTAAGTTGACGTAAATAAAAACCATATCACAACAATATTTCAGTACGCATGTGCCTCTACTTTGACAACTCCTTGCTTCTTTCCGTGGCTGCAACCACTGCGTTCATCAACGTAGCTCGGAATCCTCCCTTCTCTAGCGCATGAATGCCTGCAATTGTTGTACCTGTGCACAAAAATAAAAAGGTGGGGGGGAGGGGAGCAGGGGGGAGTTGGGGGGGGGGGGGGGGGGGGGAGGGAGGGAGACGGGGGAGCGGGAGGGGGATGGGAAGGGGGAACAACACCAATAGTGGGCCACGGTTTCAAGGATATAGCAATAAACTTGGTTGTTGCCAAAAATCTTTTGATGGTTTACCTCCAGGAGAGGCCACCGAGTCTTTGAGTTGGCCGGGGTGCTTGCCCGTTTCCAACACCATCTTTGCAGATCCGAACACCTGTATTGCGCAATTCAAGGGAGAGGGGGGAAAGAGGGTTGCGGGCATTAACAATAACAGGGATGCCACCGAGTCTTTGAGTTGGCCGGGGTGCTTGCCCGTTTCCAACACCATCTTTGCAGATCCGAACACCTGTATTGCGCAATTCAAGGGAGAGGGGGGAAAGAGGGTTGCGGGCATTAACAATAACAGGGATGCCACCGAGTCTTTGAGTTGGCCGGGGTGCTTGCCCGTTTCCAACACCATCTTTGCAGATCCAAACACCTGTTTAGGTTGCACAATGAATGGGAGAAAAGGCAAAGAGGAGGCCCTTGGCTTGCTTCAAATTATATCAGCAGCATCGTTTGAATAACTCCGTCAAAACATGCCATGCACAGTGACCAACTTCTATTAATAAAGGAAAATTGGGGTTATTAAAGGCAAAACGTACGGTTTGAGCGGCGAGGGAGAGAGCAACGTCTCTGGGCAGGCCAGCAGCCACGCCTCCATCCGCCAGTGCCTCTATTGCCATGAACACATATGCCGGGCCGCTGCCACTGAGAGGGGGAAACCGAGGGGGAAGAGATGGGGGGTGAGATGGGGGTAGCAGGGAGAGGAAGGGTGTGAGGCGGAATCCCCGTCTCTTGGCAGGCCGGCAGCCACTCCCCCATCCAACAGCGCCTCTATGGCCATAAACACATATGCCGGGCCGCTGCCACTGAGAGGGGGGAAGGAGGGAGGAAGAAGGGGGAGAGGGGCATGAGGAGAGCCGTACCATCCCTGGGCAGGCCAGCAGCCACTACCCCATCTGCCAGTGCCTCTATCACCATAAACACATATGCCGGGCCGCTGCCACTGAGAGGGGGGAAGGAGGGAGGAAGAAGGGGGAGAGGGGCATGAGGAGAGCCGTACCATCCCTGGGCAGGCCAGCAGCCACTACCCCATCTGCCGGTGCCTCTATCGCCATAAACACATATGCCGGGCCGCTGCCACTGAGAAGTGGAGACGGGGGCGGAGAGGGAGGCACAGGGGTGAGAGAAATAGTAGAGGAGGAGGGGCAAGGAGAGAGGAGAGTGAGATGCACGTGAGTCCACCCTCCCAACCACCCCTCCATCCGCCAGCGCCTCTATGGCCATGAACACATATGCCGGGCCGCTGCCACAGAGAGGGAGAGAGGGGAAGGGGGGAGAAGGGGGAGCGGGTGCAGGTTGAGAGGAGAGCAAGGGACAGCATCCAGTAGCTGCTCCTCTACCTGATGAATCCGCCCCACCGCTTCAAACATGCGCCTCACCAATCTGCACTCCTTCTGAACACACACCACCGTACATGTCAACACCAGCCGTACCTGAGCCCAGTGACAGCATCCAGTCGCTCTCCACCACCTGCTGTACCCACCCACCCCACCGCATCAAATGAAGCACCGCTTTTGAGTCGACTCAAAAGTGAGCCCCAGGTTGGAGCCAACTTTTGAGTCGACTCAAACGGCATCCAGTCGCTCTCCACCACCTGCTGTACCCACCCACCCCACCGCTTCAAATGAAGCACCGCTTTACACACCTCTCAAACACACACTATATATCCATACCTGTCAACACCATGTCATGTGTACCTGAGAGCCCAGTGACGGCGCCCAGAAGCTTCTCCTCCACCTGCTCAATCTTCCCCACCTCTTCAAACATGTGCCGCACCAACGCTGCATCCCCACCTGAGCTGAGTCAGAGGGAGCATTGCTCCACCAGCAACATACCTGAGAGCCCAGTGACGGCGCCCAGAAGCTTCTCCTCCACCTGCTCAATCTTCCCCACCTCTTCAAACATGTGCCGCACCAACGCTGCATCCCCACCTGAGCTGAGTCAGAGGGAGCATTGCTCCACCAGCAACATACCTGAGAGCCCAGTGACGGCGCCCAGAAGCTTCTCCTCCACCTGCTCAATCTTCCCCACCTCTTCAAACATGTGCCGCACCAACGCTGCATCCCCACCTGAGCTGAGTCAGAGGGAGCATTGCTCCACCAGCAACATACCTGAGAGCCCAGTGACGGCGCCCAGAAGCTTCTCCTCCACCTGCTCAATCTTCCCCACCTCTTCAAAGTTCAAACATGCGTCACACCGCTTTCCAATCCTCTCAAACACATACCACCGCACCTGTCCACACCAGCTCCAGCCATACCTGAGCCCAGTGACGGCGTCCAGAAGCTTCTCCCCCACCTGCTGAATCTTCCCCACCGCTTCAAACATGCGCCGCACCGCATTACACACCTTCTGTACCCATACCACCGTACCTGTTGACACCACCCATACCTGAGCCCAGTGACGGCGTCAAGCAGTTTCTCCTCCACCTGCTCAATCTTCCCCACTGCTTCAAAACAAGCACCGCTTTACACACCTCTCAAACACATGCGTACCTGAGCCCAGTGACGGCGTCAAGCAGTTTCTCCTCCACCTGCTGGATCTTCCCCACCGCTTCAAACATGCGCCTCACCAATGCTGCATCCTCTGCTGTCGCCTTGCCTCCCAGACTCATGGCTGGAGAGCAAATCAAGAAAAGGTGGATGCCAGGGGTGGGATGATGGGGAGAACAAGGAAATTCATGTAAACTCTAACATGCGCCTCAGCAGTGGTGCTGCATCCTCTGCTGTCGCCTTGCCTCCGAGACTCATGGCTGGGAGGGAGGGTCAAGAGTGGTGAGATGACGGTGGTGGGAGATGAAAGAGCGGTCATTGTAGGCACTCTAAACATGCATTAAGCCAGTGCTGCTTATGAATCGTGATGGCTGCAGCACAGTGTGTGAGCGCCCTGCTAACTGCACTGTCAGCTACTCTACTCACCTGCTGCTGACCCCCCACCAGCCTCACCTGCTGCTGTCGCCCCCACCAGCCTCACCTGCTGCTGTCGCCCCCACCAGCCTCACCTGCTGCTGTCGCCCCCACTAGGCACGGGGTGTTCGGCATGACTCGCACAATCTTCGCCTCGTCACCCGCCCACTGCTGCAGGTTCGCGATCGTGACCCCCGCAGCAATGGACACAACCAGGTGGGTGCTGGTGATGGGTGTGCTTGCGATGGGTGCTTGTTAGCCTATCAGCTATTCTCCTCACCTGCTGCTGTCGCCCCCACCAGGCACGGGGTGTTCGGCATGACCCTCACAATCTTCGCCTCGTCACCCGCCCACTGCTGCAGGTTCGCAATCGTCACTCCCGCAGCAATGGACACAACCAGGTGCGTGCTTGTGATGGGTGTGCTTGTGATGGGTGTGCTTGTGATGGGTGTGCTTGTGATGGGTGTGCTTGTGATGACCACTTGTGATGGCGGCAGCACTGCCTTTGATTCCTGTGTTGGCTGCCCTGATCACCCTGTCAGCCACCCTACTCACCTGCTGCTGTCGCCCCCACCAGGCACGGGGTGTTCGGCATGACTCGCACAATCTTCGCCTCATCACCCGCCCACTGCTGCAGGTTCGCGATCGTGACTCCCGCAGCAATGGAGACAACCAGGTGGGTGCTTGTGATGGCAGCAGCGTCCCTCAGTTCTGACAGCACTGCCTTCACTGTGTGGGGCTTCACTGCAATAAAGATGACGTCACTGGCTGCTGCGAGCTGTGATGGAAAGGGAGGAGAAGGGATAAGATGTGGGGTTGGATCATGTGCGGCGCTGTCCCTCAGTTCTGACAGCACGGCCTTCACTGTGGGGGGCTTCACTGCGATAAAGATGACGTCACTGGCTGCTGCGAGCTGGGATGGGGGGAGAGGAGAAGGGAATAGACGAGAGGAGTGGAGTTGGGTTATGTGCGGTGCTGTCCCTCAGCTCTGACAGTACGGCCTTCACTGTGTGTGGCTTCACTGCTATAAAGATCACATCGCTGGCTGCTGCGAGCTGGAAGGAAAAGAGGGAAGGGAGGGAAGAGACAGGGAAGGGAGGGAAGGAATGGATACGAGCAAATGGGGTGCTTGTGATGGCGGTGATATCCCTGAGTTCTGACAGCACCGCCTTCACCTTGTGGGACTTCACTGCAATAAAGATGACGTCGCTGGCTGCTGCAAGTTGGAAGGAAGAGAAGGAAGAAAACTTATGCAGGGAAGGGGGGGAAATGAAGCGGACAGGGAAGGGGGAGGGACGGACAGGGAATGGGAGGGAACGGGACAACAACAAACCTAACACAAGACAACGAGAGAGCGCAGTAGCTGTCAGTGGCGGACAGGTGGGCTGCAGAGGCCTTACTTCCATCAACTCGTGTGGTTCTTAGGACGACAAGACAAACCCCATGGATCGGGTGAATGGATGGAAGGAGCCTGGTTTACTGCAAGCTATAGCGTTTTCTTAGAGAGACAGTTAGAACAAATCTTCAACTTAAAGGACAGAGGCCTTCAACAAATCTTAGAGGACAGGGAAGGGGCAGGGACGGAGTGGGAATGGGAAGGAACGGGACAACAACAGACCTAACACAAGACAACGAGAGAGGGCAATGCAGCCCACACCCATATCTGCAAACACCGCCAGTCGCTCCTGGCTCAAGTCCATGGCGCTCATGTCGCTCGCTGCTACCACACCCTGTAGCATACCCCACCTCTTTGCGCGTCGTCTTAGCAGCCATCCCCATCTCAGCAAACACCGCCAGTCGCTCCTGACTCAGATCCATGGCGCTCGAGTCACTCATATGCCGCTGCACTCACGCTCTGATTTCCCATTGCACTCAAGAAAAGGAGCCCACCTCTTGCCTTTGCAGCCAACCCCATCTCAGCAAACACAGCCAATCGCTCCTGACTGAGATCCATGGCGCTCATGTCTTTCGCTGCTACAACAAACCACACATTTATCACCATATAGAGGAGCCCACCTCTTTGCACGTCGTCTTAGCAGCCACCCCCATCTCTGCAAACACTGCCAGCCGCTCCTGGCTGAGGTCCATGGCGCTCATGTCGCTCGCTGCTACAACCCCCGCGGCGCTCATCCCCCGCGCCAGCGCCTCCGCCATCTGCCCCGCGCCTGTGTGTGTGGGGGAGATTTGGCGCGGATGGTTGGAGAACGGGAGGGGGAGATTATATGGAGGGAATTTTGAAACGGAACGGGAAATTCAGAGCATGATCGAGACGGGAGATTCGGGGAACCGAGACCGCAGGTCACAATGAGACGCGTATGCAAGTGGTCCCGTCGCGGTCCGGGGCAGTCAACGAAAGTCAGCGGTGGTTATGGCGCGAACAGGAAGACTTTAGAGTCGACGACGCCGGTGCGCACTCACTTACCCACGAACCCCAAGCGCACCCGCTTCGCCTCCGCCATAATGCCGAGCTGCGTCCTGACTGAAAATGCGGGGAGTTATGGGCGGCGGAAATGGAGGGGAGGATCCACACCCAGTTGGAGAAACAAAGGCGAGAATGAAAGAGGATATTCCTTCAAGTAGAATGGAGGAGATTTGAGTTGGACGGATTATTTCAACATAAGGCTTTCCAGAACATGCGACATGTGTGGGCTGAGGTCGACGAAGTGTACATGAAGCACTTCAATGTTATATTATTGACCGGAGTGCGAATGATGTACAATATAATGTGTAAATTTAGAATAAATTGTTCAATCTTCTCGAGATTTCTGCAGGATTTCAGAGTCCCTCCTCTCCAACTTCATGATATGGATCTCATCTATTTATTCAAACTTGCGTTTCTATTCAATCCAATTCTTGGGCATCCTCTCCAAATGCTCACACTGTTTGCTTGCGAGTCTGATTCAAACGACCCCTCTATCCCGCAGCTTCCCACTTCCATCCACACTTCACTTCTCCTACTCCCATCCCCTTCCCACATGAACTACGGTAGACTCGCCGGATTGGCGCTTCATTAGCCCCGCCTTCGCCCACCTTCTCTCGAAGCCGATCCGTCCTTTCGCTCTCAGGTGAATTGGCGTATGCGCCTTCCGTTTCCATCGCTCTCACTCACTCACTAGGACATGTCCTGCAATGGTCTTCAAGGTTGCGGAATCGCTCACGATAGATTCTTCCTTCCTCCTCATTCCCAACCCCGCGACACGTCTTTCGCAGGTGTGAACCTGGTCCAGGATAGGAAGGCGGATAGCTGCTAAGAGTTGCGCGTCCATACGCCGTTACCATTAATGGCGTCAGTGCTGGCCTCTGCAGTAGTGTCACTAAGAAACGAGGAGCCACGTACAATCAGTGTAACTTCCGCAGATGTTCAAAACGTCTCGGGTGGAGCTCAAGCAGACGCAGCAGGACCGGCGACAGATATGGCGATAGGGGAGGAGAAAGTACAAGAAACTAAGGTTCGCCTTTCGGACACGATTGGTCTTCTAAAGGCTCGTATTGGGGCTTGCTTAAACGAGTACATTGAGAAGTATGAAGGAGGAGGTGGGAATGGGGAGGGGGAGGGGGATGCAGCGCTCTGGGATGGAGAAGAGAATGGAGAGGAGGATGAGGAAGAGGGGAAAAGGAAGAAAAGAGGGAAGAAGACTGGTGGTAAATAAATCGAAGTAGCCAAGCTGAAGAGGCCTACGATAGCACCACCACCTTTTTATAGCACCACCATGTTTTTGAAATGTGGAGCAGTAGTAACTAGAGCAGCACAAGCTTACGGTGGTATGTTTACAGTACCTGATCAAAGCAGGGAAAGTGAATCAGGATGCTGTTTTCCAGTGCTGAATTCTGTAGTATAGGTCTGGGGCATTGACGTAAAGCCGGGCCCAAGTGTGAAGCTATCCTACAAGGACCCTTTCAGTGTACAGTATCTTGCCTAACCTATCAACTAGGTAAGGTATTCAACAAGATAATAACAATATTCCTTCAACCAGCAGAGACTGCGCTACAACAGCTTGTTCCGTTACAGCGGCTTGCTGCGTTACAACAGCTTCTTGCGTTCAAAGAAGGCCTTGAGGTGCCAGAGCTGCAGGGCAGCCAGGCTCACACACACCAGCAGCGAAACGATGCTCAGCCAAGCCACCCTTGAGTTAGTCACCTCGTTCAAATCACGCATGTCCGATTCTCTGGTGGGTGGAACAGAGGGTTTCAAGCAGGACAAGTCAATAAAAGAGGTGACAGGATGAGCAAAAAACGTATCCCAATGACCTGCTCCGCTATTGTGTGAACCACTGGTGATGCTGCCACTCTGATTGGTGTAAACTCATCCATATTACACTCCAAGGTCCCCTCTGACATCCCAAATTATGCAGCAACCAACCACCTCCACTCCCCAAGATAGAAACTTTCTGATTTCCCCATCATCGGCAAGTACTCCAGCTCTGAGTTACGCAGGGGTGAGGGGAACGTTTCCTTTATGAAGTGATTCACTCACCGCTTGCGGAAGTAAGCCATCTCCCCTCGAATGGACCTCACAGCCTCATCCAGTTTGCGGAGCTCCAGGGCGATACCCTTCCAGAACACGTTGTAATACAGGCATGGTGGTGGTGATGGGCGAGAGGAGAAGGGGGGGGTTGAGGGCAATACTAAGGTGAATGATCAGCAAGAACAATGGACGATCCAGAACGATCTCAAATGGACCTCGCTGCCTCGTCCAGTTTGCGCAGCTCCACGGCAATGCAGGTTATAGAATCACAAAACGATCTAGAGCGGTTTACAGAAGCACAGACCGACTATGTATCTGAAAATCCGAGCCAGACGAAACCCATTACACCACAGATCCTAAGCATACATGTAAAGAGTCAAGCCCATCCCATCACCCTCACAGCCATTGCCGCTTTCGAATTTCACCTGGTACGCCGTGTAAAATGTATGGCTCATGTGCTCATGTGCTCAGTCAAATGCGATGCATGAGGGACAACCAAACACACAAAAAAAAAAAAAAAAAGAGAATGTTGATGACTCACATCAAGTTTGTCCTTCTTGGCGATTTTGCCCCAGTCCTTGGCTGCTACGCCAATCTTCCATTCAAGTTCAACCTGTAATAACACCACACAGAACGTTGGAGCAGAACGAAAGCTTGTAGACGCACGGGGATCCGAGTCTTGGCGGCAAATTCAATGACGGGGAATTCGGGTAACTTCTTGCAAATCCAATGCAAGAAGGTGATGTACACAGGAATACAAGGAACTATGGTGTAAGATTTCTGAAGCCAAGTCTACGTGCCTACTGATGGTATCAATGTCCTGATAGACAGGGCCAGGGGGTGTGCACACAAGTGAACCGTTCATCTTCATTCCTGTGTCTTAACCCCTTCCCAGTCTTTCCCAACTGGCTTCCTCACCATGACACTGTGAATCTCTTGCGGGTGGTCCACGGGTAGCCAGAAGCACGCCATGTACTGCCCCGTCTCCTTGGTTGTGAATCCGAAATGCCCCTCCTCCACACTGTCCTGCCAGTGCAGCTGATGCCCGTACGGTGACGTCACCTGCCATGTGGTTATGCAAGGTGGCAAACCAATTGTTTTGATTAGTAAAGGAACAGGTTTACTTTCGAATGCCATTTTTCCACGCTGTCCAACCAACGCATCAAATGACCGTAGGGTGACGCCAGCCACGTCATCACGCTAGTTCAGCAGCTTGAAAAATGAATGCCTAAAAATTCTGGAATGCTGGAATCGCGACCCAAGGACTATTCCAATGTCGAGGAGGTGATACAGGAGGTGTTGGGAGAACAATGGGGGAACAATGAGGTGTAGGTCATATTTAAGATACTGGGGACTAAGAGGTACAAGTTGGGGATAAAAGCTCAACCTGGACCAGGCGCATACAAAAAGGAATAAAAATCAAGTCCAGGTCGAATGACGCGATCTACGATCCGTCATATAGCTTTGAATGCGGTAGTATTACTCTACCTGGATGCCTTGGGAAAAGTCATCCACGTACCTTTCTCATCATAAAATCTACCAACCAAACAAGCGGAGCCGTACCTTGGCTGTGACTTTGCCGGTTTCGTCCAGGCGGTTCCCATGAGAGTCGTGCTTTACGATTGAATATGTTCCTACAACGAGTGTTCCCTCCTGAATCTCCTCCCCTAAACATTTCGAATAGGCCGTGACCTCAAATTTGACCGCCAGACAGCCTCGCTGGCAGCACGCAATGGCGATCACGGCAGTGAGAATAAAACCAAGGAAGCGTCTTAAGGGCGCAACCATGGCGGCCAGCTGAAATTGAGCAAATAATAGGAGTAATTAGCTGCACTAAGCTTCAAATGCGCGGTCGAAACCAGGCCACGACCCTTACGTGGCGACCACCGGAAACAACCTGCCGAAGGATCACAAAATAGCACTGCGATTTAAGAGCGCTGGATGAAGTTGGAGATGCTCCAGGACTAGAACGCGGTGATAACTCCACTGCAGAACTGGAATGCATAGGTCTAGAATATGCTGCTTTTCTGATCAGGCTCTTTCGGATCAGGTCAGGTTGGTGAGTGAGGAGGTTCTCCATAAGCATACCCAACCAGTTGCGATCTTTCATTACCGCTTCAAAGCGCAATCCACCTCATGAGCCGCATTCTGAGTATCTTTTAGGTCGGAAAGGGAGGGTAGCTTGGAGAACGGGAAGGGGGTTCCATGCGGTTCCGACGTATTCTCAAGGATTGTAACATAACATATTCCTGCTTTTGTCTTGTACCATCTTCACATCATTTTATTATGCAAGACAAGGAGATCAACCTACAATAACCTAACAAAACGCAACTGAACGCATGACACAACAAAAGCATAGATTTGGCAGTGTTTCCTCATTGCTTTGTAAAGAAGTATAGGATGAAGAAGAGTGTTACACACGACACAACCACGGCTGCCAAGCCCCGATTCTGCTTGGAGCTGAACACCTGCAAATGAAAAGAGTGCCAAAAGATGAGAAAAGCTGAGGTGCAAAGAGCAGAGACGTAGCCGTAATGCTAGAGAACAAAAAACACAGGAAGGCTGGAGGCAGAATCGGAAGGGATGTGAAAGAAGTTATCAGATGAAGAAGGTGCAGGAAAGGGGGAGAGGTGAATCAGCTTACTTTCGTGAAGCGATCAACTGTTCCAGCAAGCATTCTTCGAGCAGAGTCCATCTCCAGTCCCTGAAAAGGCACAGACCAGTGAAATGGGTTTTTGAAATAAAGCACTGAAACCAATATCAAAACTCCAAAAGGCAAGGCAGAGGGGTTCAGCAGCACAGTAAACATGCGTCAACAGTTGTGATCTAAAATCACAGTTGCTTGATACTCACCATGCCATCCAGGAAACGATTTTGTGATTGAACCTCGCCATGGATGTCTTTAGTTAACTGGCACAAGGACAAAAGGTTGAGAGCAGACGGAAGCACAACATTTGGCAGGGAAAATAAATAAAGTGTTATTGCGTGAAAGGAGCTTCTCCTTTTTCTCGTTTTCGGTTTCTCACATCGTTCAAACGTCCAACCAATCTCCTCACTCTCAACTCCAAGATATAGTCAGCAAGGCAGCCTTCCGTCTCCCATAGCGAACCGAATCCCATCGTGATATACGTCAGTGTAACGATATGCAGGTCCCACACTGGCTTGCTCCCAGCGAAGAAATCTTACAGCCTTATCGTTTTCAGCCTTATACATTTATCCCCTTTAACCAATTCCATTATATCCATACTAGGTCGTGAATGTCTAAGGTCTGCGGTTTTTTTCTCCTACCTCTTTGATTAGTCTAGCCCTCTCCTCCAATTGACTCAATGCTTCTTCATTGCTCTGCTCCGACGCATACGCTGTAGACCTCATGGCCCCGCCAGCTCCCGACTCGATATCGCCATACGAGCCCCCACTTCGGACCATGACGACTATGTTACGCGGCAACTGAATATGAAAAGAGCGCTCCGGAATGAATTAAAATCTCCACTCAACGGCTGTCACCTTTCTAGCTGCAGTCACAGCAGGACAACCGCAGCCTTGAATACCTTCCTAACTGTGCACAACCAGCCTTTAGAGGCTGCTACGGAAAGCTTCTCGGACTAAGCCACAGACCGTCTGAGCAAACAGTATAGTTTAATCCTCGTCCTACTTGTAAGCTGTTGTGTCCAAGAATCTCTGAAGCACGGAAGGGTGACATGAAGCACGAAAACAGCAGCAGCTGAAGATCGTCTTCCGCCTTGAAAGCAACAACCACCCCTGTGTTATCTTTCCGCCTGGGGAATGTTCCAGCCAGGTGTGGTTGCTTCCAAGGCTCGCGACCCCAGGGCATGTCACAGACTGTCGTTCGGTACACGGTCAGCCGTCTGAACCTTTGTGAACCGCGAATTAACTGACAGAACCGTTATCAACGAGGCCAGCGGAATGGTTGGGTATCAAGTCGACGACAGCAAGGAATGACACGGATTCTTATTGGATGAAGAGGCTGAAGGGCCTGTCACAAAAGCCTCTTCAACACACTCCCCCCCTATCACCAAGTTTTGAAGCGATAAACGAGATGACACGACCACCCACTTCTGGAATCTGGAGCCTTCGCGAAAGTGATGTTACCGAGAGGATTCGTGTTTCCAAATTTGCCTGCAATCCCATATGAATTTTCGTCAATCGCACGCTCAGACACATTGCAAGTCATGGCGGAGCGGGTATACCACGTCTACGAGATAAAGCGAAGATTGCGACTGTCGTGCACCTTGAAAAAAACCCGTCACCTCGACATTTCCCTAACGTGACTTGGCACTGGATGGCCGCGACTCGCACGATGGACTCTCGAAATTTGACGCCACCAACACGATTCATGACTGCAGCAACTGACGCCTGAACTCTGCGACCCAGTACGGTTCAGTAGCATTCCGTGCAATACAAAGCGTTGAAAGCAACTAAACGTTCAAATTTCACCTCTTCGTGCAAATGCTCGCGCGGGTTGGGCGGGGTTCGATGCATCGATGAAATGCATCAACAAACACATCGTTCCTGGATCAGCTCTCCCTACATAGCTGGTATGTTCATGGGATCGTAGACTTCTCCTAAACAGGCCATGTCGAGGTTTCTCTTGTCAATGCTTAGCAGTCACTGCTGCCAACAGCCAGCTGTGTCTCTCCTCTTCAGTGAGAGTCAGGCCTAATAGAAACCAGACCTAGTACGAGCCAGCTAGTCCTTTCCATCTCCTGCTGCTCAAAATGCCGGTTGGATCGCCAATCCAACGGCTTTCCGAGGACTTGATCTCGAAAATACTCAATCTCCTCGCTCGATCCGACTGCCAATTAAGTCATGCTAGCGTCTGCCAGCAATGGCACGACATCGCGTGTCGCGTACAAGACAGCGTCTGCTTGAACGCGGACCGCTTCGTTGACCCTCATCAGCTTCTTCCGCAGCTTTCGAGGTTCGTCAAACTCAGAAAGCTCGTCCTCCCAGCTGGCAGTCTGAGAGCCGTCTCCGATGATCTCCTCTGCTGCCTCGCCGACACGTGTCGCGACCTCGCCGAGTTTCAAGTCGCTTTTCGCAAGCCAGACTCATTCGGTGTATCCGACAGTAGCGGAGTTTTCACCGAACACGGTCTGTCCCGCCTTTTCGCGAGCTGCACTCGTCTGGAGGTCCTTGATCTGCACTGTCCGGATCGTCTCACCGCCATTCCTCCTGCCATCGACCATCTCGTTTTCCTCACGAATCTTCACCTCGCCGGGGAAGAAATCGACCTCGTTCCCGATACATTCACTTCGTTACAATCACTCCGACACCTGAAGCTTCGCTTGCCCAAGCTGGAAGATTTGCCGCGAAATTTCGAAAAGTTTACTTCTCTGGAGTCGCTGGTTCTCGAAGACTGCGCGTCGATTGTGCCAGTCCCAGAATGTATTGGGAAACTTGCGAATTTGCACCGTCTTTCCATCGTCGGTTTTTGGTTGCTTCGGCTGCCCGATTCTCTTCCCAACCTTTCATCCCTGGAGTTTCTGGAGATTCGGAAATCCGTACTCGTTCAAGCTCTGCCCGCGAATTTCGGGCAGCTTCACTCTCTCGAAACTCTACATCTGGAGGATATATACAAAACGCCCGACCTGACCGAGTCTCTCAGGCAGCTGCAGCGGCTGAAGCGTCTAACCATGATCAACTGCCTTAGCATTTCGTCTCTGCCTCGGTGTCTCATCCGTCTTCCTGCACTCACGGATCTCGATCTATTTCTTCCGGATCTTTCCGAGCTGCCCGCCGAAATCGGTCACTTCTCAGCGCTTCGAACGCTCGTGCTGACTGCTAAGAACGTTACCAGCCTTCCTGATTCCATCTCTCTGGCCCCTGCGCTCCAAAAGCTTTCCCTCGTTGGTCTCGTTAAATTGACTTGTCTGCCCGAGGAATTCGGGCAGATGGCTGCTCTGGAGACACTCCACCTGGATGGCCTTCTTCAGCTCACCCACCTGCCCGAGTCCTTTGGGCACCTGACGAAACTTCAGAGCCTAAGAATCATGGATTGCCATCGGCTGCAGCAGCTGCCCGAGTCCTTATCCGCGTTACTATCCCTTGAGCACCTGATTCTGTTAGATTGCTGGCGGCTCTCTACACTACCAAGCAGCATGGGAAACGGGCTGCCGAATCTGCGCAAGTTGGATATTCTTCACTGCAAAGCTCTCACCCGCCTCCCTCCTTCCGTCTCCGGCCTTTCTTCCCTCGAATCCCTGAACATTCTGCAAGCAAGGCGCTTCAGAGGAGAATTGCCCGAAGGCTTGGGCCGACTGGGGAAACTGAAGCAGTTGTCCCTCCGTGACATGCGTCGACTGTCTGGCCTTCCTAGGTCTGTCTCCGGCCTTCTCTCCCTAACCAGCCTGGTACTGATGAACTGCCCGGAGGTGGAAGCGCTGCCTGGGGACATCGGACGGCTGGGAGCACTCCAGGAGCTCAGGCTCTCGAAGCTGTACCGCTTGGATTGCATCCCTCAGTCGCTGGTTGAGCTGCCACAGTTGCGGGTGCTGGAGGTGCGGATGTGTTTCAAAGCCCCCACTCTACTAGGGGATGAAACGGCGGCTAGCAGGACCTTGGACTACCGCAGCAGCAGCAGCAGCAGCCGCAGGGCTACGAGCACCAGCAGCAGCAACAATCTGAGCAGAAACGTCAGCAGAGTGGTGCTTCCATCCCTGCAGAGCTTGAGCGTTAAAGATCTTTCCTTCCAGTCCTTTGGACCGTCCCTCAACCGTCTGTCATCTCTGACAAGCCTGGAGATTCTGTTCATGGAAAAACTTGTCTCACTCCCCAACTCCTTATCCGGGCTTTCGAATCTGCAAGTGCTCCGGATCTTTCGCTGCAGGAGGCTGAAAGCGCTGCCAAAGGACCTTGGATCGCTTTCTCGCTTGCAAGTTCTCGAATTGGTGGAGATCGATGATTTGGTTCGCCTGCCCGAGTCGCTCGGGCAGCTGGGGCAGCTCGAGACAATGAAAATCATCAGGTGTCACAGGCTGATCAAGCTTCCAGCGTCGTTTTCCAGCCTGTCAAAGCTCCAGCATTGTGTTTTTGCTAATGTGGGATTCCCATCCATGCCGAAAGACATCCACAGGCTCTCCTCTCTCCAGACCTTGGTGCTTTTGGATCTGTTTAATCTTTCCAGGCTGCCCGGAACTTTTCTGCAGCTGCCCCAGCTGAAGAAGTTGGATGTGAGCTACTGTGAGAAGCTGGTTTGGAAGCCGAGACCTTCCCGGGAAATGCCAATGCTGCGCAAGTGTTCGATTCGCGCATGCCCTCTGATGTCAAGGAAAATTGCCAAGAGAATCTGCATAGGGGGGGGTGTCAAGAAGAGGGAGGACGGAGAGGGTGGGGCTGATGGGGAGGATGAGGAAGAGGATGAGGAGGATGAGTGGACGGACGAGGAGGAAAATGGAGAGTATGAGGCGTGCTTAGATTTGATGGAGGGGATGGAGTGTAGTGAGGATGAGGAGGAGGAAGCTTTTATAGGGGATGAGGTGAAGACGAGGAGGATGCGGCCTACGACGATGATAACCAAGGAGAGGGTGAGGCGTACAGAGATGATAACCAAGGAGAGGGTGAGGCGTACGGAGATGATAACCAAGGAGAGGGTGAGGCGTACGGAGATGATAACCAAGGAGAGGGTGAGGCGTATGGAGATGATAACGAAGGAGAGGGTGAGGCGTATGAAGATGATAACCAAGGAGAGGGTGAGGCGTATGGAGATGATAACCAAGGAGAGGGTGAGGCGTATGAAGATGCTAACCAAGGAGAGGGTGAGGCGTATGGAGATGATAACCAAGGAGAGGGTGAGGCGTATGAAGATGATAACCAAGGAGAGGGTGAGGCGTATGAAGATGATAACCAAGGAGAGGGTGAGGCGTATGAAGATGTAACCAAGGAGAGGGTGAGGCGTATGAAGATGATAACCAAGGAGAGGGTGAGGCGTATGGAGATGATAACCAAGGAGACGGTGACCAAGGTGAGGATGATGAGGAGGATGAGGAAGACCAAGAGAACTAGGAGGAAGAGAGTAGTCGTGTTCTAAATAATGGAGGGTAGGGAGAGAAGTCCTAGTATGTAGGTATGGCAGGAGAGGGGTGTTGGGGCGAGGAGAGGAGATTGTCATTCTAATGCGATGAATGTACCAGGTTAGGCAGGGTGGGGAAGGGCTAGTATATCATAACTTTCTCCCAGTATGTGTTGTTAAAGCCCGAGTCTAGAATGGCAACTTTTCAAAAATACTGAACCTGAAAGTGGGTTTGCGAAGGTTAAAACCGGGGTGCACATTCAGCTGAATGTGCATCAAAGGTTATCCCTTGACTGAGTGGGTTACGAGGTGTGCTTTCAACCCCTTGAAGTCGAAATTCGTTTCCCCCCTCCCCCGCAATTTCGTTTCCCCACGCCCCCGCAATTTCATTTCCCCC